AGTGAGTGGTTGAGTGAGTGGTTGAGTGGTTGAGTGAGTGGGTGAGTGGTTGAGTGGTTGAGTGTTGATGATGGCACGATTACGGTGAGAAGTACTTGACGTTGGCGAGTGCCTTGACGCGTGCGGCGGCGAGCAGCGACTGCGCGGCGATGCGGTGGCTTGAGGGCGATCGCAGGTGGGAGCGTATCCTCAGGACGTCGAGGCGGACGACGGCGATGTGCGCCAGGTAGAGGAGCGATAGCGACCAGAGGGCTAACAACAGGTATGAGAAGGGTGTACGTATTGCCCAGATGAAATCATCGATTTCATCAAACAATTCTTTGAAGTATCCTTTCGTTAGAACTCTAGTTAATTGCTTTACGAAATTGTCACATGTCTTCTTGTTTTCAAATCCCATCAACTCTTTCGGCATTCCGAATGTGAAACCGTACTGGTAGAATACGGACATTGGTCCTTTGCACTGGACTATTGAAGTGCAGTGGCAACTGGGCTTAGGAACATTTGGAGGTTGCGATGTTTCTTCCTCAGTGACGCCGTGTTTACCAAAACCGCATTTGCATAGACACCCATATGTTTGACAGGATATGTTATTGAACGCCTTGAGCAACTGATCAAGCAAATCCCAGAATGTCCACGCCAACCGGCAAAGCCATGACAGATACATGTTTGCGTGTTTTGCAGGGTATGTGTGATGAGCATCGTGACACAGAGCTTTGAGGTAAGGGGCGCAGGTGGAATTAGCAGTAGAGCATTGATTTGATTTTTCCGGCCTTGGGTTCGGCGATACAGTATGTAGTCCACGATGAGTTTCGTCCGATAGTTTGTCAGGATGCTCGTTTGTTGAGCAGTACAATGTATTCAACGCATGGGTCAGCTTGGAAGCACTGTATTTGTTGTGAAGCCACATATCATTTTTGAACGGGAAACTTAGATGAATGGCTTCATCAATTTTACCCTTGTATTCGGTGTCATGACCATACACTGAACCATACGATTTCTGCATTATGTTACAGTAGTACGACAACATCTCTGCCAATCCCTTCGGTGGAGAGGGCAATATGCATTGTAATGCGTGCACTAAATCACAGAGAACTGATGCGCTGTTTTTACAAAGGTCAGAAAGCACATCAATCAGATCCTCGCCACGGCCTGTAATAGAGCCCGCAGTTGCCAAATCTGCAAAGCCCATCGGGGTGATACATTGACCAACCAGTGAGCCCTTAGGGCACGTAGTACAACTAGGCTGGCAACCGACAGCTGTGAACTTATGCGGCATGAAACCAGGAAGCCCGTCCATAAGATGTGCTTGAAGCGGGGACTTTGGCAAGCAATTTGGTTGGTCATTTGGTTCACTATTTGGTTGGCACTTAGCCTGACTCTTTGGTTTAGTGCTTGACTTGTCGCAGTCCCACTGGTAGCTGCCGACACGATAACCATACTGACACTCACGCCACCCGTTGCCGTCGGATGCTGTGTACCTACATTGTTGGTATAAGAAACGCACTGCACGCAACAAACGAGTACACATATCTTTCAACATGCCAAGCAGTGAAGACGGATCACCGGGGTAATAGAATTGCCCATGGTTGTTCTCAAAGCAACACGCATACGGGTACGCAGCGTGGTCATAGCCACAGCCGTGGCCCTGGATGGAGACTAATAATCTATGTGACAAGTTACATGTTTTAGTAATGTTACCGTTAAGGTGTTGCAAGGATCTCTCCATGACTTTATCGTCCTGGTTGTAGAATATACCAGTAGACTTGTCTTGCTCATAAAGCATCTTTTTACAGTGGCCATCAACGGTTTTATAAACTGCAGTATGTGGGAGACCGGAAAGCCATACACAAATATCACGAACGGAACATGGATACTTTTTGGACTTCGGGAGTCCGAGGTGGCAGGATTGGTAATACTCACTGACGTGAGATGTGAGACAATCGAGAATGTGGAATATATTAAATTGTGAAGTCGATTTAATTTGTGTCTTTGCTTCATCCGGTTTACATTTTGGAAAATGTTTGTTAGTGTCGGCGGTGAGAGTGATCTTCTCAAAAAGGTCTCGAGAAATGTGTCCCCCCCTCATCTGCTCATGACATCTCAGCTCTCCTTCATAGGACTCTTCCAACTTGGACACCCTGTAGCCGCTGTCCTGGAAAAATGCGCCGAGGGGATTATATACACCTGACTTGGAGATGAGAGAAATTTTGTTTTCCCTGCAATCACCGTTTGTCTTGTGACATCTCTTATGAAGCTCACGCAAATCGTGATTCAAGATGCTGAGGATGGTGACGAGAATTTGGGCGCAATTTGTCTTGTCTAGATTCTTTTCATCGCTCCAGTTTATTGTTTTACCGGAGTACGAAGACACGTACGCCTTTCTGAGTTGGTTAACAAACAGATGGAACCCTTTTTTTAGGGGGGCTAACAGTCTTCTCTGCGCATCGTTCATGCCATCAAGCGAAAGTTTGTCAAGCGTCTCGGCGAAGCGTTCGCGCTTCTTGGATACTTCGTCGTGGAAATGCCTGCACGTGGTCATCTGCTGGAACAAGGAATTTAATGCATCCCGTAGGGGACGAACCTGTGAAGCGACAGATATTATATCACCGTGCTGCGATGTGCTTTGCGAAAGGGCATTGAAATAAGTGTTAAGTTGGGACGACCAATCTTCAAATGGTTTCGGTGCCTTTGGAGGCGGAACGGGCGAGGCAAGCGTATTAAGTGGAGTGATAAAAGTCTTTTGTAATCTATCGAAAAATCCCTTGATTCCAAGGGTTTTATCTTGTTCGATGGTTTTCGTAATGTCATCAAACTGCTTATTAACAATGTCTTCCAACGCTCGAAGCTCATTTTCCTTCCTTGCGGAGTACATCTCCTTCGCCTTGTTCTTAATGATAGTAAAGGCATTTGTGATTTCTAAATCTATACGCCTACGTAATTGATTCATGAATTGGTTTGTTTTTTGCGACATCTCCGTCATAAGCATCTCAACATGTTGGATGCAAAGGCGTAGCGCCATCCTAGCAGCTTGAATCTTATCTTTAACCGTGTTAACTGTTTTGCCAAGGTCATTAATTTTGTCTTTTAGGTCGTTCAACTCAGCGAAGACACTATCGGTATTATTTTTTTTGGTGTTATCTTTCGATCCGACACTCGTTAGAAGGATTTTTAGCTGATCATCTATCCTTGATTTAAACTCATTCACCAACATCGTGAGGCCTCTTGCGTTTTTCTCGGCTTCTGCAAGACCATATTTCTCATCGCCATCTTTGACACCCTTTATACCACCTTGAATTCTTTTAACCTTCTCCTCGATTGCATTAGCGACATCTGTAATCTCACCTTCAACTCTCTGCCTAATCTTCTCCATGACTGTCGTGACGACTTGATGGGAGTGCTGAGATACGGTTTTCGCAACGGTACCAACTTCAGCCAAAAGTTTTTGCAGATCAGAGGTTAATTCTTTTGTTACGCCAGAAGGGTTGGCAAACTTCTGCACTAATGTCTGAAATGATGTTGCATTGGTGAAACGTATATCAGAAATATTCTTGGCACCGTCGCCGAGGATAGTAGTCAGCTTACCTTGAAGACCAGTAAGCTCAGCCACCGTTCTAGGGGTTTTCACGACATTTACAAGTGATGTAAGATCACTGTGAACATTTCGAAAAAAAGCTTGCAAAGGAATTGGATAAGCTCCAGAATTCACCCACTTTTCACCAATTTTATCCATCACTGCTTTAACGTGTTGCATAATCTGCTTATCAATTGCAGACAAATGATCCGTAATCGTTTTAAAGGGTTCCGATTGTGTACCAATAGCCTTCAGGAATCGCGCATCGACCTTACCACCGTAAGGACTGTCAATGTCGTTATCCCCAGCCGTAAGAAGCCTAACCCTCGCGATGTCCTGTCTCAGATTCTCGATAGTGTTCTCGAGTGCCGTCTTAGTTGCTCCAAATTTTGTGCTAAACTGCGGTGCACTAACAACGAGTTCACCAACCTTTGAAACAATCTTCGTATCATAGCTATTCTCAAAGTTGTTAATAACGCCATTTGCGACATTTAAGGCCTCCTGAAGGTCATAGTTAACTGAATTAAATAACTCTGCAAATTGCTTACTTTTAAATATTTCGAGCCTCCTATGCAGATGTCCCATCTGCGTTGTTAAATACCCCTGAAGTTCATTACGCTTGGCATTAACTAACCCCTCAACCTGACTCGTAAGCGCAGTCATCTGTTGACTGGCCAGACCGAATACAATCTTCAAATCTTCATCCTCAGCATTCCTTTTAAAACTCTCCGTCGCCTGTAACAGCAATGAGACATTCATACGTAACTTACCTGAGAGTGCAGCGTCGAAATTTTCCAGAGCGCTCTGAGCCTGTTTCGCATTTTCAAAGTACAACTCACCTCTCTTCTTCCACCTGGCATGTTGGTCACTCAGAGACATCTGTTTAAGCTCTTCAAATTTATGGTCGCTAAGATTCTTTTTTATATCTAATCTCATGATAACAATAGGCTTCTTAAACTCTTCACATTTCTCCTTCACCTCACTCTCATACCTCCCGAGCCACCCACTCACCTTTTCCACCTGAGTAACCAAAGCTCCAGACCCCTTACCTATGGAAACTTCAAGAGAGTTGAGAACACTATCTAATTTTGGCTCAGCAACGTTTTTATCATATTTAGTCACACTCTCATCCTCCTTAATACTCTCCAATACACCACCCAAAAACGCCATCACCCCGTCGCACAGCCTGTCAAGGTCCGAGTAGACGATGCCGGAGCCATCGTAGCCTTTGGAAGTTTCTTGGTAACCAAGAAACTTCTCCAAGCCAGAGCACAGGTTAGTAAGTAAATTATGTGGATTATTTTAGGCACATTTTTAGGGCGATTTGGGGGAATTTGGAGAAAGGCGATTTTAGGTCAAGGAGGCAGTGAGGCAGCGAGGGAGGTGGGTGGACAAGGCGAGGGAGGTGAAGGGCGAAAGAGGGCGATGAAGGGAGGAAGAGGGGTTGGGATAAGGGGATTTTAGGGGAAGAGGGGGAAAGTGGAAAAAGAGGATTTGGGTGAAGGACGCCGACGGAGGAGGTGAGGGAAGGTGAGGGAGGGAGCGAAGCGACCAGTGAAGGAGGGGGGTGGGTGAGTGGTTGAGTGGGTGAGTGAGTGTGTGAGTGATTAGGTGGTTGAGTGGTTGAGTGGTTGAGTGGTTGAGTGAGTGAGTGGTTGAGTGAGTGGGTGAGTGAGTGGGTGTCTGAGTGGGTGAGTGGGTGGGTGGTTGAGTGAGTAGGTGAGTGAGTGGGTGAGTGATTATGTGAGTAGGTGAGTGGGTGGGTGGTTGAGTGGTTAGGTGAGTGGGTGTGTGAGTGGTTGAGTGGGTGAGTGAGTATGTGAGTGGGTGGTTGAGTGGGTGAGTGGGTGGGTGAGTGGGTGGTTGAGTGGGTGAGTGGGTGGGTGAGTGGGTGAGTGGTTGAGTGGGTGGTTGAGTGGGTGGTTGAGTGAGTATGTGAGTGGGTGAGTGGTTGAGTGGTTGAGTGGGTGGTTGAGTGGGTGAGTGGGTGGTTGAGTGGGTGGTTGAGTGGGTGAGTGGGTGGTTGAGTGGGTGGTTGAGTGAGTATGTGAGTGGGTGAGTGGTTGAGTGGTTGAGTGGGTGATTAGGTGGTTGAGTGAGTGGGTGAGTGGGTGAGTGGGTGAGTGGGTGAGTTGGTGAGTGGTTGAGTGGTTGAGTGGGTGGTTGAGTGAGTGAGTAAGTGGTTGAGTGGTTGAGTGGGTGAGTGGGTGGGTGGGTGAGAGAGTGAGTGGGTGGTTGAGTGGTTGAGTGGTTGAGTGGGTGAGTGAGTGGTTGAGTGAGTGGTTGAGTGGTTGAGTGACTGAGTGGGTGGGTGGGTGAGTGAGTGGGTGGTTGAGTGGTTGAGTGAGTGGTTGAGTGGGTGAGTGAGTATGTGAGTGGGTAAGTGGGTGGTTGAGTGGGTGAGTGGTTGAGTGAGTGGGTGGGTGAGTGGGTGGATGACTGGGTGGGTGAGTGAGTGTGTGAGTGAGTGATTAGGTGAGTGGGTGGGTGAGTGGGTGAGTAAGTGAGTAGGTGGGTGAGTGGGTGAGTGAGTGGTTGAGTGGTTGAGTGGGTGATTAGGTGAGTGAGTGGGTGAGTGAGTGGTTGAGTGGTTGAGTGGGTGGGTGGTTGAGTGGGTGAGTGGGTGGGTTGGTGGTTGAGTGGGTGGTTGAGTGGGTGAGTGTGTGAGTGAGTGATACACAGATCACACGTGAAGGCACGATTACGGTGAGAAGTACTTGACGTTGGCGAGTGCCTTGACGCGTGCGGCGGCGAGGAGGGACTGTGCGGCGATGCGGTGGCTTGAGGGTGAGCGCAGGTGGGAGCGTATCCTCAGGACGTCGAGGCGGACGACGGTGATGTGCAGCAGGTAGAGGAGCGACAGCGACCAGAGGGCTAGCAAGAGGAAAGTGAAGAAGTTGAGAAATATTGAAGGATTATTTTAGGCACATTTTCAGGGCGATTTGGGGGAGTTTGGAGGAAGGCGATTTTAGGTCAAGGAGGCAGTGAGGCAGCGAGGGAGGTGGGTGGACAAGGCGGGGGAGGTGAAGGGGCGAAAGAGGACGACGAAGGAGGAAGATGGGTGGAGAGAAGGCGGTTTTGGAGGTGGAGGGGGAAGGTGGAAAAAGAGGATTTGGGTGAAGGACGCCGACGGAGGAGGTGATGGAGGAGGGTGAAGGCAGGGAGCGAAGCGACCAGTGAAGGAGGAGGAGAGTGGGTGAGTGAGTGAGTGAGTGGTGAGTGAGTGAGTGGGTGCGTGATTAGGTGGGTGAGTGGGTGAGTGGTTGAGTGGGTGAGTGAGAGTATGTGGTTGAGTGGGTGAGTGGGTGATACACAGATCACACGTGAAGGCACGATTATGGTGAGAAGTACTTGACGTTGGCGAGTGCCTTGACGCGTGCGGCGGCGAGTAGCGACTGCGCGGCGATGCGGTGGCTTGAGGGTGATCTCAGGTGGGAGCGTATCCTCAGGACGTCGAGGCGGACGACGGTGATGTGCAGCAGGTACAGGAGCGACAGCGACCAGAGGGATAATAAGAGGTAGGAGAAGAAGTTGAGAAATGTTGAAAGATTATTTTAGGCACATTTTCAGGGCGATTTGGGGAAGTTTGGAGAAAGGCGATTTGAGGTCAAGGGGGCAGCGAGGGAGGCGGGTGGACAGGGTGAGGGAGGTGAAGGGGCGAAGGAGGGCGGTGAAGGAGGAAGATGGGTTGAGAGGAGGCGATATCGGATGTTGAGGGGGAAGGTGGGAAATGAGGATTTGGGTGAAGGACGCCGACGGAGGAGGTGAAGGGGGTAAGGGAGGGAGCGAAGCGACCAGTGAAGGTGAGTGATTAGGTGTTGAGTGGGTGAGTGGGTGGGTGAGTGGGTGGGTGATTAGGTGGTTGAGTGGTTGAGTGGTTGAGTGGGTGGGTGGTGAGTGAGTGGGTGAGTGGGTGAGTGGGTGAGTGGGTGGGTGGTGAGTGAGTGGGTGAGTGGGTGAGTGAGTGGGTGAGTGAGTGGTTGAGTGAGTGGGTGAGTGAGTGGGTGTCTGAGTGGGTGAGTGGGTGGGTGGTTGAGTGAGTAGGTGAGTGAGTGGGTGAGTGATTATGTGAGTAGGTGAGTGGGTGGGTGGTTGAGTGGTTAGGTGAGTGGGTGTGTGAGTGGTTGAGTGGGTGAGTGAGTATGTGAGTGGGTGGTTGAGTGGGTGAGTGGGTGGGTGAGTGGGTGGTTGAGTGGGTGAGTGGGTGGGTGAGTGGGTGAGTGGTTGAGTGGTTGAGTGAGTGGGTGGTTGAGTGAGTGGGTGGTTGAGTGGGTGGGTGGTTGAGTGGGTGGGTGGGTGGTTGAGTGAGTGGTTGAGTGGGTGAGTGAGTGGGTGAGTGGGTGAGTGTGTGGGTGGGTGGTTGAGTGGGTGAGTGAGTGGTTGAGTGTGTGGTTGAGTGAGTGAGTGATTAGGTGAGTGGGTGAGTAGGTGGGTCATTAGGTGGTTGAGTGAGTGGGTGGTTGAGTGGTTGAGTGAGTGGGTGGTTGAGTGGGTGGGTGAGTGGGTGGTTGAGTGGGTGGGTGAGTGGTTGAGTGTGTGGTTGAGTGAGTGAGTGATTAGGTGAGTGGGTGAGTAGGTGGGTCATTAGGTGGTTGAGTGAGTGGGTGGTTGAGTGGGTGAGTGAGTGTGTGAGTGATTAGGTGGTTGAGTGGTTGAGTGGGTGAGTGGTTGAGTGAGTGAGTGGTTGAGTGAGTGGGTGAGTGAGTGGGTGTCTGAGTGGGTGAGTGGGTGGGTGGTTGAGTGAGTAGGTGAGTGAGTGGGTGAGTGATTATGTGAGTAGGTGAGTGGGTGGGTGGTTGAGTGGTTAGGTGAGTGGGTGTGTGAGTGGTTGAGTGGGTGAGTGAGTATGTGAGTGGGTGGTTGAGTGGGTGAGTGGGTGGGTGAGTGGGTGGTTGAGTGGGTGAGTGGGTGGGTGAGTGGGTGAGTGGTTGAGTGGTTGAGTGAGTGGGTGGTTGAGTGAGTGGGTGGGTGAGTGGGTGGTTGAGTGGTTGAGTGTGTGAGTGGGTGAGTGAGTGGGTGGGTGAGTGGGTGAGTGGGTGAGTGGGTGAGTGGGTGAGTGAGTGAGTGGTTGAGTGAGGGGGTGAGTGAGTGAGTATGTGAGTTGGTGGGTGAGTGGTTGAGTGGTTGAGGTGAGTGGGTGGGTGGGTGAGTGGTTGAGTGGGTGGTTGAGTGGGTGGTTGAGTGGGTGAGTGGGTGAGTGGGTGAGGGAGGTGAAGGGGCGAAAGAGGGCGATGAGGGAGGAGGATGGGTTGGGATGAGGCGATTATAGGGGTGGAGGGGAAAGGCGGAAAACGAGGTTTTGGTGAAGGACGCCGACGGAGGAGGTGATGAAGGGGTGATGGAGAGGGAGCGAAGCGACCAGTGAAGAGGGAGGTGAGTGAGTAGGTGAGTAGGTGAGTGGTTGAGTGGGTGGTTGAGTGGTTGAGTGTGTGGGTGGTTGAGTGAGTGTGTGGGTGGTTGAGTGGGTGGGTGAGTGGGTGAGTGGGTGAGTGGGTGGGTGAGTGGGTGGTTGAGTGGTTGAGTGGTTGAGTGGGTGAGTGAGTGAGTGGGTGGTTGGGTGGGTGAGTGAGTGAGTGGTTGAGTGAGTGGTTGAGTGAGTGGGTGAGTGGGTGAGTGAGTGGGTGAGTGAGTGGGTGAGTGGGTGAGTGGGTGAGTATGTGAGTGGTTGAGTGGGTGGGTGAGTAGATAAGTGAGTGGGTGAGTAGATAAGTGAGTGAGTATGTGAGTGGTTGAGTGGTTGAGTGAGTGGGTGTGTGAGTGGTTGAGTGGGTGGTTGAGTGGTTGAGTGGGTGAGTGAGTGAGTGGGTGGTTGAGTGGGTGGGTGAGTGAGTGGGTGGTTGAGTGGGTGGGTGAGTGAGTGGGTGGGTGGGTGATACACAGATCACACGTGAAGGCACGATTATGGTGAGAAGTACTTGACGTTGGCAATTTTCCCAACCTTTGCAACGGCGAGGAGGGACTGGGCGGCGATGCGGTGGCTTGAGGGTGATCTCAGGTGGGAGCGTATCCTCAGGACGTCGAGGCGGACGACGGCGATGTGCAGCAGGTACAGGAGCGACAGCGACCAGAGGGCCAGGAGAGTGTAGATGAATTTACTTCTGATGTCAAACAGAAATTGTGGTATGTGTTTGTGTACAAGCATATAGAGGAAATTGTTTTGCTTGACGACAAATCCTAGCGTCTTACAGAAATCTTCACATGTACGCTTTGTACTTCTATCTGTTTGACCGCTTAGTTTGTCTGGGCTCCCGAAGGTAAATCCAGCGGTGTATATTAGAGAATGTGTGCTTCTGCAGTTGAGGATGGAATTACATAATCTTGAATGTCTTATTTGTCCGGGTGCTGATGATTTGACCTTTTGAGCATCCGATACTTGAGAGTCATAATACGGTTTTACCTGACAGTGATTAGCGCATCTGGAACCATTACATCTGCTGCCTGGTTTATTGCAATTATTGCAGCACTCATCATATAATTTCTTAAGTAAGTCGTAGAAAGTTTCTGTTATATATACAACCCACGACAGGTAATTACTAGCGTGCTCCTTAGAATACACCAACCTGATGTGTTCGCTTGCTGACTGCAAATATGATCCGCAGGGGAGAGACGTGTTTTTAGCATTTTTGCATTCTATAAGAGTGAACAGATCGCCGGTGAATTTCCTATCTGTTTCGGAGTAATGTTTAGAATGATTACTGGATTGTTGTATGGACACAACGTCCAGCTTTGTTTTCTCATTCCCAAAGTTGGCGAGGCTCACGGCTTTATTGAACGCAACGCTCTTGTGGTCTTTACTACCACCCTCCCAAGTGGAAAGAAAACCATGGTAAAACCCGAACATATCGCCAAGCGTCTGCGGTGCTCGTCGGAGGAGACAGTTGAAAAACTACACAACCTGGTGAGGGAGACTCAGGCCTGCCGCAGAAACGATAAAGTACGCTAAAAAGATACGTGCCGTCTTTAGTACGCGATGCCATATTGCTAATGTCTGCAAAACCCATGGGAGTGATACACGGTTTACCATGATGATTGGTTACAGTACATGTTAGTTTGCAGCCAGGTGTTTTGAATGAGTGCGGGAGGAAACCCGGCAAACCGTCTTCAAGGAAAGACTGCAGTGGCGACTTAACACCGCACTTGGGATGTTGGTCACAGCTTTGCTTTCCCTTTTGGGTACCAATTTGGTTAGCCTTTTGGGGACACTCTTGGTTGGCGCACTGCTTCTCGTTGCACATCCAGTCGGATCCCCCGACATGCCGACCGTAATGACAATCTTGCCATCCTCCCCGACTACGGCCGTTTGAACACTGGCTATATACGAAACGCAACTGATGAAACACTCTAGTCAATGTATCTATCAACATGTCAAAACATGAAGCTGGGCTACCTGGGTACATTAATTTATTTGTGTTAGTGTAAAAAGTCTACGGCGTATATACCGTCAGCGTGGCCGTGGCCGAGAATTGCGACCAGAATGTCTTCGGAGTACAGACATACCTCGCGAAGTATGGCGATCAAGCCGTCATGTCTTATTTCAGTGGTGGCGGGAAGAGTTAATTGGCTAGTGGGAATATCAGAATATGGTTTATCTTTAAGTGTTTTAGGTTTAGGGAACAATTCCTTAATGTGCTCTTTCAGCTTGTCATACACCGGATTAAAGTATAACCCGAGGAGCCACTGAAGCATTTGGTAGATGTTGGACGGGGATATAGGTGACGCAATGTGTTGCATGTGAGGAACTTTGTAATAGTCGAGGAGATGTCTGAATAATGTCCTAAGGGGACCGGCATCTTCCTTCTTGTTATCCTGCTTAAAAACATATTTGCCATTACCGTTGACAAGGAGACCCTTAATATGCTCTCCCTTGACATTTTCGTCATTCCTTAACTCCCCGTTTTGTGTCTTGTTATCATCGGACACCTTGAAGCCTCGGCGTTGGAACCAATCTCCAAGGGGATTTGCGGTCCTCTTATTTTTCTCATTGTCATACATACGAATGCATTTATCTTTACAATCCTTTCCATCAATACACTTATCATACAGATTTCTCAGATGACTATTCAATATCTCCAGTAAGGTCAAAAATACCTTCGCGCACTTTTCGCCTTCTGGCGTAACTTTTTTACTCACGTAGTTATACAATAAGATTTCTTCATGCCCCTCATACCTATTCACGTACCCCTTCTCCAGCTGCTCGACGAACTTTACCAGGCTCTTGGGGAAAGCGTCGAGCACGGGGTACGCGGGGTTGGCGAAGCCTGTGGAGTGGAGTGCTTGGACGGACGTCGTGAGATTTTGCAGCATTCCGGGGACGCGGTGGTCGAAGTGTTTTTGGTCGCGCAGGTGGGAGAGGAGGGTGGAGAGAGCGGTGTGGATGGTGGAAATTCGGTCAGACTCATCAGTAGACTTTTTACCGGAAACATTAGGCAGGAAAAATGAAGGCGATTTAAATTGGTCTTCGATATAATTCAAAACGGGATCAGCGTAGTTTTTGAATGCTTCTGATAATTTTTTAACCTTTTCCCAATGTTGTGGATTTTCATCACCCACAGCAGTGCTTAGCCCATCGAGCAGATTGGAATTTGGTTGAGGCGGAGGTTGTTGATCTGCCTGGCCATCCACTTTGCCTTTTAACTGCCTCATTAAGCCTTTGACACCCGTTGATAAATCTTTGTTGATGATCTCTTCAATGTTCCTTGCGTGAGTTTCCACCTTCGTTTCAAGTTTTTTAAACATTTCATTAATAGTCGTATAATGAACACGTTTAGCAGTGTCTTGTATACTTTCAGTAGCTGCTTTTATTTTTCCATCGACACAACTCTGAACCTCAGTAATGGTGTCACTGGCTTTTTGCTTTGCGGTACTTATAGCTCTTGTTGTCGATGACCTTAACGTGGCAACGTCTGCGTTTATACCTTCAACATGATTTTTAATATCCGAATCAATCTCCTTAATTATATCTTCCAGCGCATCTAACTCGCTATTAACGCCGTATTTGTCAGCGTCGATGGTCAACGAAAGAGCATTATTCTGATTGCGGATTTTCTCAGCAAGCGCAGTAAGGTTCTTAGTTTTAGCAGTTACACTCTTTGTAATTTCTTCAGCCTTTCTAGTAACTTTTTCCACCGCTTCACGAACAATTTTATTGGCCTCAGCAATCGGCTTCTTCACGGCATGCTCGGCGTTTTGTAAGGCAAGATTAAGAGCCTTTTGGGCGTGCTTAATTTTTTGCTCCAAATCTGGTGGCGTTTTTTTCAAACCTTTTGCGGCATTCCTCATTTGGACTCCGTATTGATTAACGGCTGCCGCCGATAATTTTTCACGGTTGTTAGCAAGCTCATCGATGAGTCGTTGAATAACCGTTTCCCTCTCTTGTACCAATGTTTCAAGCGCTTGCAATTCTTCTGCAGCAGCCTTGTCTACCTCCCTGACGTCATCTGCGATAGTCGTAATAATTTTATCTACTTCCTGTTTATAGTCCTTATCAAAATTCTGGGCGTACTCTTCCGCTTTACTGCGAACCAGTTTCACAGCAGAAGTTGCATCTTGAAGCCAATCATCTACAGCGGATGACAAGTTATCTGCGCTCCTACTTATCTGTTCAATATTACCCTGCACGGACGATATCTCCGCCAGCACATCCTTCTCGAGCTGTCTCACGGCACCTTCAATAATCTGCTTGACAAAACTTTCCACACCATCTAATTCCTGCTTAACTGTCAGGACTACAGCCCTTAGTTCACTGTTGCTGGCGGCAACACAAAACTTCTCCACCTCGGTTTCCACTCGATGTACATCGTCCTTAAGTTTATTTCGCAGTTCAGGATCGAGGCTTTTATGTGTCCGTGCGGCTAACCTAAAAGCCCTTTGGAGATCACCCGCCTTGTCGACGCATATCTGCATCGAGTCGGCAACCTCACCAGCCTTGCAACCACTAAGTGAGCTAAGTGAATCTCTAAGTGAAACAATATTACGAATCTTTAGGTCCTTAAATAAGTGTATTAGTGTTCTAGTTTTGTGAGTGACATCTTGATCCCACGCCCGCAGCGCCGCGGAGACTTGTGTGATGGCATTCTGCAAACCATTAGAACCATTATGCATAAACTTACTGATTAAAGAAGGAAGATTCTTGATTTTGTTATTTTTATCATACATTGTAACGTTTTCATCATCTTTCACACTCTCAAGAACTCCATGAAGGAAAGCCATCACCCCGTCGCAGAGCCTGTCAAGGTCGGAGTACACGATTCCCTCTCCGGTGTAACTCCCATTCTTGTAGCCGAGAAATTTTTCGAGGCCTGTGCAGAGGTTATTTAATAAAGTTGTTGAAGGATTATTTTAGGCACATTTTGAGGGCGATTTGGGGGAATTTGGAGAAAGGCGATTTTAGGTCAAGGAGGTAAGGGAGTGAGGGAGGTGGGTGGACAATGCGAGGGAAGTGAAGGGGCGAAATAGGGCGATGAGGGAGGAAGATGGGTTGAGGTAAGGCGGTTTAGGAGGAGGAGGGGGAAAGTGGAAAATGAGGATTTGGGTGAAGGACGCCGACGGAGGAGGTGATGGAAGGGATGATGGAGGAGGGAGCGAAGCGACCAGTGGAAGAGGAGGTGAGTGTGTGGTTGAGTGTGTGGTTGAGTGGGTGGTTGAGTATGTGAGTGAGTGGGTGAGTGGTTGAGTGGGTGGTTGAGTGGGTGGGTGAGTGGGTGAGTGGTTGAGTGAGTGGTTGAGTGAGTGAGTATGTGAGTGGTTGAGTGGTTGAGTGAGTGGGTGTGTGAGTGGTTGAGTGGGTGGTTGAGTGGTTGAGTGGGTGAGTGAGTGAGTGGGTGGTTGAGTGGGTGGGTGAGTGGTTGGGTGGTTGAGTGGGTGGTTGAGTGGGTGGTTGAGTATGTGAGTGAGTGAGTGGGTGATTAGGTGAGTGGTTGGGTGAGTGTGTGAGTGGGTGGTTGAGTGGGTGGTTGAGTGGGTGGTTGAGTGGTTGAGTGAGTAGGTGAGTGGGTGGGTGGTTGAGTGGGTGAGGGGTGAGTAGGTGAGTGAGTGGGTGAGTGAGTGGGTGGGTGAGTGGGTGAGTTGGTGGTTGAGTGGTTGAGTGGTTGAGTGGTTGAGTGGGTGATACACAGATCACACGTGAAGGCACGATTACGGTGAGAAGTACTTGACGTTGGCGAGTGCCTTGACGCGTGCGGCGGCGAGGAGGGACTGGGCGGCGATGCGGTGGCTTGAGGGCGAGCGCAGGTGCGAGCGAATCCTCAGGACGTCGAGGCGGACGACGGCGATGTGCAGCAGGTACAGGAGCGACAGCGACCAGAGGGCTAATAAGAGGAAAGTGAAGAAGTTGAGAAATGTTGAAGGATTCTTTTAGGCACATTTTCAGGGCGATTTGGTGGAATTTGGGGAAAGGCGATTTTAGGTGACGGAGGCAGCGAGGGAGGTGGGTGGACAGGGTGAGGGAAGTGAAGGGGCGAAAAAGGGCGATGAGGGAGGAAGATGGGTTGAGGTAAGGCAATTTCGGAGGTGGAGGGAGAAAGTGGAAAATGAGGATTTGGGCGAAGGACGCCGACGGAGGAGGTGATGGAGGGTGAGGGAGGGAGCGAAGCGACCAGTGAAGGAGGAGGTGAGTGATTAGGTGAGTAAGTGAGTGGTTGAGTGGTTGAGTGGGTGGGTGGGTGGTTGAGTGGTTGAGTGGGTGGGTGAGTGAGTGAGTGGTTGAGTGGTTGAGTGGTTGAGTGGTTGAGTGGTTGAGTGGGTGGTTGAGTGAGTGGGTGGTTGAGTGAGTGAGGGGTGAGTAGGTGAGTGAGTGGGTGAGTGAGTGGTTGAGTGGTTGAGTGAGTGGGTGGTTGGGTGAGTGGGTGGTTGGGTGGTTGAGTGAGTGGGTGAGTGAGTGGTTGAGTGGTTGAGTGAGTGGGTGGTTGAGTGGTTGAGTGGTTGAGTGGTTGAGTGAGTGGGTGAGTGAGTGAGTAGGTGTGGGAGTGAGTTGGTGAGTGGTTGAGTGGGTGAGTGGGTGGTTGAGTGGGTGAGTGGGTGGTTGAGTGGTTGAGTGGGTGGTTGAGTGAGTGATTAGGTGAGTGAGTGAGTGAGTGGGTGGTTGAGTGAGTGATTAGGTGAGTGAGTGAGTGAGTGGGTGAGTATGTGAGTGGTTGAGTGGGTGAGTGGGTGGTTGAGTGAGTGATTAGGTGAGTGAGTGAGTGAGTGGGTGAGTATGTGAGTGGGTGAGTATGTGAGTGAGTGGGTGAGTGGTTGAGTGGTTGAGTGGGTGAGTGGGTGAGTGAGTGGGTGGTTGAGTGAGTGATAAGGTGAGTGGGTGGGTGAGTAGGTGGGTGAGTGGGTGGGTGAGTGGTTGAGTGGGTGGGTGGTTGAGTGAGTGTGTGGGTGGGTGAGTGGGTGAGTGAGTGAGTGGTTGAGTGAGTGAGTGGGTGAGTGGGTGGTTGAGTGGGAGATTGGGTGGTTGAGTGGGTGGTTGAGTGGGTGGTTGAGTGAGTGGTTGAGTGAGTGGTTGAGTGGTTGAGTGGTTGAGTGGGTGAGTGGGTGAGTGGGTGAGTGGTTGAGTGAGTGAGTGGGTGATTAGGTGAGTGGTTGAGTGGTTGAGTGGTTGAGTGGTTGAGTGAGTGAGTGGGTGATTAGGTGAGTGGGTGAGTGGGTGGGTGATACACAGATCACACGTGAAGGCACGATTACGGTGAGAAGTACTTGACGTTGGCGAGTGCCTTGACGCGTGCGGCGGCGAGGAGCGACTGGGCGGCGATGCGGTGGCTTGAGGGCGATCTCAGGTGGGAGCGTATCCTCAGGACGTCGAGGCGGACGACGGCGATGTGCAGCAGGTACAGGAGCGACAGCGACCAGAGGGCTAATAAGAGGTATGAGAAGGGTGTGCGAATTGCCCAGATGAATTCGTCGATTTCTTCAAACAGCTTCTTGAAGTATCCGTCGTACAGCACTTTATGTAATTGTTTAACAAAATCATCACACGTCCGCCTGGTATTGTGTGCATATAACGTAGCAGGTACACGGAATGTGAGTCCGTATTGGTAGAACACCGAGAGGACACCTGTGCAGTCAACGATGGAATCACAGTGGCAGCCTGGTTTTGTAGAACTTTCCTCCGTGACTCCATGTTTGCCGGGTGGACATTTGCAAGGACACCCGAATGATTTGCAAGCGATATTTTTGAAACTATTCAGTAACTGTTGCAGCAAGTCCCAAAACTCCCAGGCCAAATAACAGCACCATGAAAGATACAATGCTGCGTGTTTTTTAGGAAGGGTGTGGTAAGCATTCTTTCCGAGTGGGTGGAGGTATGGAGCACATGATTTTGTCGCCTGGCATGTAGACATTGTAGATAGGCTCCACAGATCAGCATGACATTGGTTTGTAGCCTTGGCATTAGGAGTTATAAGGTGATCACCTGAAGAATAGTGCAATTTTTGCAGTGCACTGGTTAGTTTTGTCACTGGATAATCACCATGAAGGGAGGCTGACAGTGGGAAGCTGTCCGAAATCGTAACGTTTTCAAGGTGCCTTTTAATTTCGGCGTTATGAATATACTTCCCGTCATGTTTTTGGAAAACTTGGCAGTAGAGAGACAACATATCGCCAAGACTTCTGGGAGGATATGGATTTACTGACGCCAGACATCGAAGCAACGTAGGCAACGGACAGCCAGCATCTTTGCATAAAATGCTGAGAGCTTTAAATATATCATTTCCGGTGCCTTTAATGGACGCCGCGTTAGGTAAATCCACAAAGCCCATAGGTGTGATGCACTGTTCGCCAGCAGATGATTTGGGACAGGTAGAGCAGACTGATTTACAACCGACAGATGTCAATTTATGTGGTAGACAACCGGGCATACCGTCCATTAAATGAGCCTGGAGACGTGATTTTGGAAGACACTCCCTACCGGAGTGTGATGAATCATGGCAATCCCATTGGTAACCGGAAACGTCCTGCCCGTATGGACAGTCATTCCAGCCACGGTATTTGGCGGGAGTACGACACACGCTATACAATAGGTTCAGGGAACACAGCAACCGACTACAGATTTCCTTTAACATATCGAACAGACTTGAAACGCTGCCAGGATAGTGGAAACCGCGGGAATTGTTTAGGAAGTAGCACGCATAAGGGTAGTCAGCATGATCGGAGCCACGTCCGTTCCCACATATAGTTGTGAGTACGTTGTATGCATTTTTTATCGTGTGATTTAGGTTATCATGTAATGTGTTCTGAAGGATTTTACTGATTACGGGATCCGCAGGCTGCGATTTTTTCTCAGCGTCTGTGATCTCCTTCTTAAGCATCGTGTTACAGTGTGTCTTAATGCCCTGATAGACTGCAGTGTAAGGAAGGCCCGTCAACCAGGATAACATGTCTCTGATGGAACAAGGGTATTTAGGTGAGTCGTGTAATGTAAGATGGCAGGCGGTGTAGTATGTTCTTATGTGACGGTGCAAATCTATAACAGGGCCCTTGTAAGGTTTTTTGTAAACATGCTTTTCATCATCTGAGACAAGAAGCCCATATATCGTTTTACCATCCACGTCATTTTTCAATTCGCCACCTTGTTTGCCAGTGGTTTTCGACACGTTGTAATTGCAGCCCTTGAAAAAGCTGCCGAGGGAGTTACTGTTGGCTAGATGAATCGACTTGTCATACATGGCACCTGACAACCCATCACGCAACTCATCAAAATCTCTACGGAACGTATGCATTATAGTACAGAAAACATTAGCATACTTGTTTTTGTTATTGCCATTCCAGTAGTCTCCCGAGTACGCCGACACGTACGCCTTGTCCAGCTGATCACACAATTTCTGCAGCCCATCTCTAAGTGAGTCGAGCAGCTTAGAGTTATTTGGGCCGGCGAATTGAGACGGCGTGAATTTGCCAAGTTCAGTGGAAAACGATTCTAAGCGCAATACGAATAGACTATCAAAATGTTTCGCTGTGCCAAGATGAGTAAGCAAATTGCCGAGTTTACTTTGCACTTCACCCAGCATTTTGGTTGGCTCCTTGGTTGTGGAGTTGGGTGGCGACGAACTTGGAGTGTTGAGTTGTCCCTTGATGTATGTGAAAATGAGTTCTAAATAGTCTTTAAATCTCTCTGAAAGCGTTTTAAACTGTTCTTTCTCTTCGACTCTTTCCAGTTTTAATGCCATTATTTTGCTTCCACTGTCCTTATACATCTCCTTCAGCAGGCCTTTGAGACCTTTCTTCTTGTCATTCTCTATAATTTCGGTAATCAATTTATTTTGCGCGCTGACCAATTTCTTGAGCTGCTCCAAGTCAGCCTTGTGCCCTTGGTTGAACATTTGTTTCGCGGCGGTGTGGACGGCGTCGAAGGCTTCAGTCACTTGTTGAGTGAGGTGAGTCTGCAGGCCATCGATACCTTCACTGAGTTCCTTGCGGGCTTGTTGAGAGGCTGATTTGGCGGCCTCGATTGCTGCTAAAAAGGACTTATTAAATTCTTTGATAGCTGAATTAATTTCCGCGATGCTATCTTTAAGTTCGCCCACACGCCTTCTCAGATCGCCAACCTGCCGTAGGATCAATCCTCCGGCCTCATCATTAACCCCGCTTACTAGAGGTTTCAGCCCGTTGATCTGTGCTTCAAGACCGTTGACTAGCTTTCGTATGTTGCCGGGCTGAATCCCTGCGTTGTTCAGCCTGTTGATTTGTTCATCTATTGTAGGGTGGACATCACGGAGTTCAATGTCGACGATGTTTTTTACTTTCTTATTTAGCTTATCGATGCCATTTTTTACTGCCTGTTGGAGGAGTTCGCCGAGTTTGGTGTCCACTTCGCTGTTGGTGGCATCACTACATAGCTTAGTTTGAATTTGGTTACCAAGAGTTAGGACGCCGGTGCCGTCTGGAATATGATCAGTATTTTTAATGGCCTCTGCCAGATGGTCACCGAGAGTATTGACAACTCTTATGGCTGCCTCAAGGTTGCCAATCTGGGAAGTCCCGATGAATTTGCTAAACCCCTCTGAGGTGTCCTCAACCTTTTTATGTACGGCGGCTAGTATAGTTCTGAGGGCGTTTTGGAAGCGATAATCGTTCGTAGGAAGAGACGCAAGTTCGGTTGTTTGCAATGTTGCATCATTTATAACTTCTGCCGCTATTTTACTAACTTTCGTGGGATATATTGCTTTGGCGTATGTAGTAAGAAAGGTGGAGATGCTTTCAAGAGCAGCATCAACTGGCCCGTCGTAGGTTATAGGCGATGCTTTGATAATCACCGATATTTTATCGGTAATGGTCTTTTTGATGGCGTCTCTAAGTTGTCCGCGCTTTTGATCGTATTCGCTCATATCAACTGACATTCTTGGCTTGTTTCTTGTAACATACCTCTCAACATACATCCTCACCGCACTGGCATCCTCGTCTATCAATTTCTCAACCATCTTTTCAATTGACTTGGTGAATCTGCCCTGGAAACTCTTCGCAAAATTCTTCACGCCTTCCACGATCTGATCCAGGGAACCATCTGGATGGTTCTTCGAATTCGCAACCAAATCTGTTTTTCCTTTAATCGCCAACCTAATAATATCTCCCAAGCCATTTTTTACATAATTGGTAATTTCCTTTCTAATCTCCTCCTTCAGCTTCGTGATCTGCGCACTCACATTCATATCTGGATCACTAGGTGTCGTGAAATACTGCAGATTATTTTGCACACCACTACTAACAGTATTTCCAAATTCACCAAGTTCACGTAACGTATTTTGCAGCGTCTCCAACTGCCCACTAACATTGTCAAAAACCTCTTGAAGTCCAGTTGAGATTTTTGCCGTGTCAAGCGCGCCAACTTGCTGATTTATGCTGCTCACCTTCTCAGCAATCTCATCATTATACTTAGTTAGCAAAGTCTGTGCACGCTCATCCGCAGCGGTAACATTCGTCTCTAACGCGTTTATCGCGTCCACCAAAGGCACCAACTTAGTACTATGCTCAGTTTCGAATGCCTTAATTCGTTCATCTATTGTGTTAAGTTTTTGTGTTAGTGTGCGTCGAAGCTCGTCAGCTTTCTTTTTAATTTGCTCTTTTACGAGAGTTTCCTTCTCAGTAATGGCAGTATCAACCTCTGCCACCTTCCCCTCTGCCATCTTCGTGGCAACACCTTTCAGGTGCTCTACCACTTTCTTAACTGGATCTAATTTGTGCGTTAGTTGTGCTTTAAGTGTGTCGTCTAAGTCATTAATTTGTATGTTTGCAATACTTTGAACATCACTGTCGATGCTCCCCAGTGTCCCCTTCCACCTTGCCAACTGGGTCCCGAGATCCTTGGTCGCCTCGCCTTCAACGCTCTTGTAATACTCATTCCCTGCAACACCAGATGAAACATCACTACGCAACTTACCTATAAGTGCAGATAATCCATCGGTCACTCCTCTTGTCTTCTTTTCTACTTCATCATTATATTTCTCCAACCACTCCTTCACCTTGGTGACAGAGTCCGAAAGCCCATTACGCCCAGTGCCAATTTTAGAAAATACATCACGAAGAACATTATCTAAATTATTCTGAGTAATATGTTTATTGTACGTTGTAACGTTATCATCCTCCTTCACACTTTGGAGAACTCCATGAAGGAAAGACATCACCCCGTCGCAGAGCCTGTCAAGGCCCGAGTACACGATGCCATCACCCGAGTAGCCTTTGGAAGTTTCTTGGTATCCAAGGAACTTCTCCAAGCCAGAGCACAAATTTGTTAAAATGTTTTTACATTCTTCAGTTTTAGGATTTTTACTAACTTCCTCATGAAATGTAATAAGCTTTTCAAGACTCTCAAGAGACTCCAACGAAGCATTATGAGACTGCAATTTAGCCTGCTCAGTTTCAAGAGGATGAGAAAGATTGTAGGGAATGGAGATATCTGCATCTTTAATAAGACTATTTTTCTTCTTTTCTTCCTTTTTATGCGCTTCAATTTTCTTATTGATGTCAGCAATTTTCTCATTAAGCTTCTTAATGTATTCATCAATTTTGATTTTAGGAGTATTTAAAGCACTTTTAAGCTCTTCAATATGCTTATCAACAAGACTTTTTTGCTGTTTAAGTTTCTCTTCATTTTGCTTTATTTGCTCTTCAAGCTCCTTAATCTCAGTATCACCGCCGGACGGCGTCCTTAAGGACGCCTCACTTTTTTCAGCAATTTCATTTTTAAGGCCATCAATTTCTCTCTCAATTTTATCAATGTCATTAAATTGCTCTTGAAGATTTTTAAGAGGTCCAACACGGAAATTCACAGCATCCTTACAACACCCCTTATCTCCGCAAGATGTTTTAACAAGCTTTTCAAGCTGAGTTACATTACTGTGCAAACCATTCAAAATCGCTTTCTTGACTTCCTCTCCGCCGCCAATAAAATCCGAAAGTTGTCCAGCAAGCTGACCAAGAGAGATACGGTGGGCATCAATATCCTCCAAAGCCTTCCCCCGGGCATCATCAGTAAGGTAATGAACTTCGTTGTAATGGTCATCCTTTTCCTTTTTAAGCTTAGATATTGTTGATTCATTTTTAGATTTGGCAGATTCATCTTCAGAATTTTGAAGCTTATCAATTTCATCCTGCTTAGACTTACAGTAGGAGTTACTAGGGTCAGAATAGCATTTTTCGGGACATTCCAGTTGATTTTCCCTCTCTTTAAGACTCCTTTCAGCCTTTTTAATAGCATCATTAATCAACTTTTTCAAAGGATCAGCCAAGTTCTTAAGACCATCACCTTTCTCACCATTCCCATGCTTAACCTGGATCAACCAGTCGATGGAGGCCGACGAAGGAGGCCAAGAGAGGTGAGAAAAGAAAGTGGGAAAAAAGGTTAGAGAACAATTAGAGGAGGTGAAATGGCACATTTTTAGGGCGATTTGGTGGAATTTGGGGAAAGGCGATTTTAGGTCAAGGAGGCAGCGAGGAGGTGGGTGGACAGGGTGAGGGAAGTGAAGGGGCAAAGAGGGCGATGAGGGAGGAAGATGGGTTGGAATAAGGGGATTTCGGAGGTGGAGGGGGAAAGGCGGAAAATGAGGATTTGGGTGAAGGACGCCGACGGAGGAGGTGATGGAGGAGGAAGACAGGGAGCGAAGCGACCAGTGAAAGGGGAGGTGAGTGGGTGAGTGAGTGAGTGAGTGGTTGGGTGAGTGGTTGAGTGGGTGAGTGAGTGGTTGAGTGGGTGGTTGAGTGAGTGGGTGAGTGAGTATGTGAGTGGGTGAGTGAGTATGTGAGTTGGTGGGTGAGTGGTTGAGTGGGTGGGTGAGTGAGTGGGTGAGTGGTTGAGTGGTTGAGTGGTTGAGTGAGTGGTTGAGTGGGTGGTTGAGTGGTTGAGTGAGTGGGTGATTAGGTGAGTGAGTGGGTGGTTGAGTGAGTTGGTGAGTGGGTGAGTGGTTGAGTGAGTGAGTGGGTGAGTGGGTGGTTGAGTGGGTGGTTGAGTGGGTGGTTGAGTGGGTGAGTGGTTGAGTGAGTGAGTGGTTGAGTGAGTGAGTGGGTGAGTGGGTGGTTGAGTGGGTGGTTGAGTGGGTGGTTGAGTGGGTGAGTGGTTGAGTAGGTGGTTGAGTGGTTGAGTGGTTGAGTGAGTGGTTGAGTGGGTGGGTGGTTGAGTGGTTGAGTGGGTGAGTGATTGAGTGAGTGGTTGAGTGAGTGGGTGGGTGAGTGGTTGAGTGGTTGAGTGGGTGGTTGAGTGGTTAGGTGAGTGGGTGATTAGGTGAGTGGTTAGGTGGTTGAGTGGTTGAGTGGGTGAGTGGGTGAGTGGGTGAGTGGTTGAGTGGGTGGGTGATACACAGATCACACGTGAAGGCACGATTATGGTGAGAAGTACTTGACGTTGGCGAGTGCCTTGACGCGTGCGGCGGCGAGCAGCGACTGCGCGGCGATGCGGTGGCTTGAGGGCGAGCGCAGGTGTGAGCGTATTCCCAGGACGTCGAGGCGGACGACGGCGATGTGCAGCAGGTACAGGAGCGACAGCGACCAGAGGGCTAGCAACAAATATGAGAAGGGTTGTCTGATTTTCCAGAGGAAATTGGGAATTGTCTCGTGTATAATTTGTGAGAGGACAGAACGATCGGAGCATACATTTTGGAGCTGTACAATAAATGTTTTACACGTCCTCTTCGGAATATCTTTGTCATCAATTCTGCCATCCAAATTGGTTCTGTCTCCAAATGTGAAGCCGTATGCATACAAGGCAGGATGAGTATGACGGCAATTAAGAATGGAATTACATCGGCCATCATGTTGCATATGGGTTTCCTCAAAATAGGATTGTTTCGAAAAACTGCAAATATTCTTGGCGCAACCGGTAACACGGCATCTTGATTTCTCTGACCCGCAGTTACCATGACAAGCTTTGCTTAGCTGACACAATAAATCGTAAAACGTCTCAGTGAGATAGACAATCCACGATAAGTAATTAGACGCATTTTTGGACGCAAATGTTCCGCAAGTATCGGTGCTCAAAGAGGCTATATATGCGCCACATTGGTTTCTTCCGTCATAACACGAGACGTTGGGTCTACATAAACTATACAGATCGCCGCGGTTGTGATATATACCGTACTTTGTTCCTTGTTTTGCACTAACTTCAAAATGTTTCCCATGTTTAAACAGATCGGAACATTGGTTCATCTCATCATACGCACGCATGAAACATGCGTTACTGACGGCGGAATCAAACGCCTCCTTCCTGTGCTCACCACTTTTCTCCCACCCATTCAGCAAATTGAAATAGAAGGCGAACATTTCTCCTAGGGTCTTAGGAGCGCTTGGGAGAAGGCAATGGAAGAGACCACATAAATTAGTTAGGCAGGCAGTTGAGTCGCCACAGAAATAAAAAAGCACATGTCTTATATCCCTCCCCGTTTTCATCTGCGATGCAGTTAATCCGATTTCAGGGAAACCCATGGGAGTTTTACATGGCATACCTGGTGACGTCTTACCACAGGTGGAACACGATATGCCGGAACTTTTAGCTGTTACACTATGCGGCAAAAAGCCTTGCAACCCATCCTCTAAATAAGACTGGAGCGGCGACTTGAGGCCGCACTTGGGGTGCTGGTCACAGGTTCGGGCACATGTTTGCTTATGACTTTGGTTAGGTGTTTGGTTAGTGTTTTGCTTCGCCTTTTGGTTAGGTATTTGGTTTGGGCATTGGAGGGAATTGCACTGCCAATCTGAACCGCCAACTTCCCGGCCATACCAGCAATCGGACCAACCACTGAGATTAGTTGGATAACAACACTGCTTGTAGAGGAATGTAAGTTGCTGGTACAGGCGGTAGACGATATTTTGTAGCATACAAATTAATGTTGTCATGCTAGTGGGATAATATAAACTAAGTGAGTTATTCGAAAACTGAGACGCGTAGACGCCACCGGCGTGCCCGTGGCCGAGGATGGCGGTGAGTACAGTACGGGATCGGGAGCAAACATCGTAAAGTGCGGGTTCTAAATCGTCATACATGATGGTATGTGGATACGCTTCGAGCTTCAGTTGTTCTTTTGGTATAGCGGAATATTTTACCTCTTTTAGCCCCTTAGGCTTCGCGAATAATTCTCTAAAGTAGACACAAAGCTTTTCATAAACCGAATTATATTGCAGCCCGGAACACCAATGAAGCATCTGATAAATGCTAGAAGGGTATTTGGTTGCGGAAAATGTCGCATGGTGACATACTCTATTATATCGTTCTACGTTGGTGAAAAGGCATTCAAGGTCCTGAATCAGATTCCGGGTGCCAGATAAGGACGTCACAGTGCCGGTAAGCCACGTCTCAATATTACCACCCGTGCACTCCGGTTTATTCTGTAATTCGCCGTTTTGCTTTCTATCGTCAGATACTATATAACCACATTTGTACAGGTATTTACCTAAATGGGTCCCTAAATTAATCTGCTGTGACTTCTTTGCCGAATGGTATCCATTCGTCAACTTGTTCAAATTACGGAAACATGTATGGAAAACGGTTAAGCAAACTTGTGCATATTTCCCGGAGTACTCAGCATTCCACTCTTGCTTAGAGTACGTTGACACGTACCCCCTCTCCAGCTGCTCGACGAACTTTACCAGGCTCTTGGGGAAAGCGTCGAGCACGGGGTACGCGGGGTTGCCGAAGTTTGTGGAGTGGAGTGCTTGGACGGATGTCTTGAGTTCCGCGAGCATTCCGGGGACCTCGTGGGTGAAGTGTTTTTGCTCGCGCAGGTGGGAGAGGAGGGTGTCCACAGCGGAGTGGATGGTGGAGAGTTGGGAGGGGTAGTGGGAGGAGGGGAGATGTTTGGGGAGGTCGGCGGAGAGGTAATGGTAAATAACGTTCAAATAAGAGTGAAGTGCGGAGGCTAACAGTGAAACAGCATCATTATCTTTAAGTGCTTGGAGTTTGTTGCCAGGATAATCATTATACTTCACGGCCCTTAGGAATCCTTTTACTCCGCTGGACAAATCTTCTGCAATTTTCTTTTCAATTTCCTTAATATGTTTTTCAACTGCTTGTTCCATTTCATCGTACATTCTATTAATTCTGGTGTGGTACTGGGTTTTTGCTTTATTTTGGATTGCCTTTGTTTTCTCTTGGACTTGTTTTATGACCTCTTTGTTAATTGCGTCCAGCGCTGCTTGAGCTTTCTTTAAGATGACATTTTGGTAAAAGTTATCGGAGTCATCAAGAATTTTTGTCAACGTATCTTCTTGTTTACGTGAATCACCAATAATGTTTTTTATTTCCATGTGAATTTTCTTAACACCCTTTGCACCATGCTGCCATTCATTGTCTCCGAAAATTCCCTTATTTAGCAAATCGCTCATTTTATCTAGAACGTCAGTTTTCAACGATGTCTTAAGAGAGCTGAGCTGCGTCTTAATTGCTTTGACAGCTTGGCCAATGGATTGGGTTTGCTTGGGTATGTTATCATTCTGAGTACCAATGTCTGCATTAATTTTGTTTATGCTGCTATTGTCTTTCTCAGAATGGAAGGGGGGCTCTTTGAAATACTTTGCTTTCAACTCATCATTCAAATATTGCTTGAGACCCTTTCTGCCAGAGTCATCTGATTCCGTTTTAATAACTTGAAGTAGGCTATCGAAAGGCCGAGTGATATCCTCTGCCAAACGATCAAAATTTTTTTTACCAGCAATCAATTCACTATCAAACTGCTTAACTTTGGGTGGGAGTTCTGATAACTTTTTAAGAGTCTCTTGAATGTTAGTCGGCCCAGGATGTTGAGTATGCTGACCCAACAGTGACTGAAGTTGCAAAAAAAAGTCGTAACCATTTTGCAAGGCGCCACTAAGTGGCTGCGTTACGTGAGACACGTTGTTCCAATTATATTCAATATTTAAAGTAGCCGTAACACTATGAAATGCACGTTGAATTTCGCTTTGAAAAAACTGCGCTGATGCACTAATAACACCTGTCATTGCAGATACATAACCATCTATCGCTTCGTGATGTTGACTTAATTTGGTAGAAGACAACGTAAAGGTAGAAGCTTGATATTGGATTTTGTGTAGGTCGACGTATAGGTCTTGAACACCTGACCGCTCTATTTGCTGCAGCTGCATCATAGGCGAAACTAGCTGCTGTGTTTGTATTAATGGATAATACCCGTGACGATATTGCGATATGCTGCGCATAATAGTCTGTGCGAAAGTTAAACATGAATAGACTGCCTGGCTCCAAGATTGCAACTGAGTACCGTTAAATTGCGTATCGCGCTGAACGCCATGTGTAATCCCCGGAGTCTGTGCCACCTGAAGATATGAACTCTGCTCTAGCATTAATTTCTGATAAACCGATTCCTCTACGGAGCTCGCCAGTTCTTTGAGGTGCTCACCGGCTTGCTGCGTGATGGCTTTCAGTTCCTCACTTTTAAGGTTGAGAAAATGCGTTGCGGTCTGTGTTTTCAAACTTTGGATTGCACTGATGACATCCATTTTATTTTTACTTCGTTCGCCAATTTCCGTCAATATTGCTTCAACCTTTGACAATGCACTCTGTACGGTTCCTTCAGCTCCCTTAATCCAAAAATTCAGGGAACCTTCAATTCTGCTAAGCGTCTCATGAACCTTAGAAATCTCCGAATTAGCTTCGGTTATCTTAGAAATGTTTGTGCCAGTAGACTCCCGACCCATGGGTTCTAATCCCTTCCATATTTCGCTCGCCTTACCTACAGCTGTATCAAGCACGCTATGCGCCTCAAGCATCCACTTTCCCAGACGACCCTTAACTTCCTTTAACTTCTTGTCAACTTCAGTAATAGGGTTCTTAATTTGATCATTAAAATCTTGGTTGATTTCACCTTGCATAACTCTAACGTGATATTCGATCTTATATTTGACATTGTTCTCTAACTCAGTAAGCTGCTCTTCGCTTAAGCGTAGTACATCACGCAGCTCCTTATTAGTGGCTGCCTCAAAGAACAGCTTTACCTCCATTTCCGTTTTAGAAACAGGATCATGAAGCTTACTTATGAGTGATTTGTCAAGCAAACCATATTGCTGCTTCGCCATATTGTAAGCCGTACGAAGCTGGGAAGCATCACGGAAGCACGTCTGCAACTTCTCAGCTACCTGCCCAAGTTCATCATGCCGAAGTTCATTAAGTGCGCTAAGTGATTTTTTAAGTGCTACAAAATTAATTGCTCTCAGGTTTGTAAATAGGTGTACTACTGTGCTAGTCTTCCTCTCGAGCTCACCGCTCCACGCCCCGAGCGCATCGGAGACCTGTGCGATGGCCTGCGAAAAACCATGAGAACCTTTATGCATCAACTTACTGATTGAAGAAGGAAGATTCTTGAAATCATTATCTTTATCATAAGTTGTAACGTTATCATCATCCTTAACACTCTCAAGAACTCCATGAAGGAAAGACATCACCCCGTCGCAGAGCCTGTCAAGGTCCGAGTACACGATGCCCGAGCCATCGTAGCCTTTGGAAGTTTCTTGGTAACCAAGGAACTTCTCCAAGCCAGAGCACAGGTTATTTAACAATGTTTCACAAGGTTTATCTTGTGGACTTTTAAGAGATTCAAATGACTCATTAAGGCTCTTCAGCTTCTGAAGAGCATCCAACTTGGACTGACAAGACTCATGAGACTTATTAAGGTCATCGGGGACAGACGTTTTTTGGGTTTTATGTTCTTCTATTTTAGGTTTAAGAAGCTTTATTTGCTCTTCATAACGCTTAATTTTCTCATCAAACTTATCAGTATCTATGGACACAGCAGGCACGGAAGTGGAAGACTGCGGAGTCGGAGACTGAGAGTTTAGAAGGCTTTTGAAGTCATCATTACTGTCAATAATAGTGGTAATAGCATTTTCAATTGCTTTAGTAATGACGTCACTTTGGCCAATAAATTGGCCAAGCTTCCCACTGAGCTCAGCAAGAGACACCATCCTGGAGTGGATGTCCTTGAGTTGGGAAGTCCTGTCAGACTCAGAAAGGGAGTGATACTTGGCAATATGATCTTTTAATTGGGATTTAAGGTCGTTGATTTTAGAGTCATTTTGTGAGTTACCAGTGGATTTAGCAGAATTTTTAAGCAAGTCAATTTTGTCGTTAAGAGACTGACAGTGGGACTTAGGAGAGTTATCAAAGGAGTGATGCCCAAGACAATTAAGGTGACAGAAGAAAGTGGAAAACGAGTTAGAGGGCAATTAAAAAAAGTGAAACGGCACATTTCCAGGGCGATTTGGGGGAATTTGGAGAAAGGCGATTTTAGGTCAAGGAGGCAGCGAGGGGGTGAGGGAGGTGGATGGACAGGGTGAGGTAGGTGAAGGGGCAAAGAGGGCGATGAGGGAGGAAGATGGGTGGAGGTGAGGCGATTTTGGGGGTGGAGGGGGAAGGTGGAAAATGAGGATTTGGGGGAAGGCGCCGACGGAGGAGGTGATGGAAGGGGTGATGGAGAGGGAGCGAAGCGACCAGTGAAGGAGGAGGTGAGTGGTTGAGTGAGTGAGGGGGTGAGTGGTTGAGTGGGTTATACACAGATCACACGTGAAGGCACGATTATGGTGAGAAGTACTTGACGTTGGCGAGTGCCTTGACGCGTGCGGCTGCGAGGAGGGACTGTGCGGCGATGCGGTGGCTTGCGGGTGATCTCAGGTGGGAGCGTATCCTCAGGACGTCGAGGCGGACGACGAGGATGTGCAGCAGGTACAGGAGCGACAGCGACCAGAGGGCTAATAATGTTAGCATGAAAGGCCATCTCAAATGACGGAGGTAATTGTCACATTGTTCGAATAGCTTTCTGAAGTAATATGAATTAATAACATTTTTCAACTGAGTGCAAAATTTAGTACATGTAATTGAATAGTCAGCAACATTCAATACGGTTGCATTTCCAAATGAAAAGCCATATTTATATAATGTGGGTGAAACCCCCTTGCAACTAACTATGGAAATGCAGCGACAATGCGGTGCTGTCGTCTTCTCATCAGTGAGACCATGCTGCCCACGCTTGCACTTTTCGCCGTGCAAACATGAACGACAACCCCAATCCTGGCATACTATGTTGCAGAAGGCGTCATACAAATTCTTAAGATATTCGTGGAAATCCCAGGGGAGATAGAGCATCCAAGAGAGGTAGAGGTTAGAGTGCTTGTTGGGAAGGTAATTATATGTATCCGTGCATAGCGTGGACACGTAAGGGGCGCAATGCACGTCCTTACTGGCAGATATATTGTTTCTTGATAGACTACACAACTCAGTAAATTCGGGACCAGGATACGTTGTACTGTGGTCCTTTTGACTCATTCCATAGACCTTATTTACTGCATCTGTAAGTTCGGTGGCTGGGGAGTATAGGCTAATGGATTGCTTGGTGATGGATGACTCGATTGCATCTACAAAAGGAGTCTGCAATAATTTTGCTTTTTCCGATGCTCTGGTTTTCGGAACGTTAATACCCATTACAATTGATAACGCGAAGCCAAAGTGCTCAGCTATCGTTGCTGGTGGTTTGGGTGAAAGGGACATGATGCATGAAATATGGGACTCGTCGAACATTTTGCTCAGCACATTGCCCAGCTCTTTGCCCAGGCGCGTACTTCCAGAGAAACCTCGGAACCCAAGTGGTGTCAAACATGGCATTCCGGGCGTCGCTTTGGTACACGTGCTGCATGATGATCTGCAACCAATCTGGGTGAGATGGTGAGGTAGGTGGCCAGGCAAACTATCACTTAGGTATGACATCAACGGCGATCTGGGACGGCAGTCGGACTCATCACTGGGATGCTCATTGCAGTGCGATTTTGCAAATGAGACATCTCTACCGTACTGGCAATTGCGCCAGCCGTTATCTGACGTTCTGATATTACATCGGCTCTCCAGAAATCTAAGTGGAGGAAATACTCTACGGAGGATGTCCAGGATCATGTTTAGACAATCTTCTCCCCTTTTCGGATAGTGTAAACCTAGGTGGTTGTTTGAGAAGTCAGATGCGTAGATAGTATGGGCGTCGCCGGTACCGAGTATTCTAGTCAATATTAAATGGGAGTAGGATGTAATCTGCTGTAAGGCATGGTGTACATTTTTATCGGTGAATGATGATGGATATGCATCTATGGGCACATTCTTCTTTTTCGTCGGATTTGCCTCATCGTCCACCAGGAACAATGTAGTGATGTGATCTGTGGTTGGTTTATAGACACTATTGTGTGGAAGCCCAGTGAGCCATGTAAGCATCTCAAATATGCTACACGGGTGCCTTTTAGAGGCGAATTTCGCTATGTGACCGACGGAGTAATACTCTACTAGGTGACTATGAAGGCAGCTAAGTAGGTCAGAGAGATTGAAGTTATCATCTTTCTTTGGTTTATCTTTTCCTTTCACCTTATTTGATTCACACACTTTAAGGTGTTTACTAGTCTGGTCAGTTGTTTTAAGTGTGCTGTTAAGTAGACTATCAAGAATATAGTTGCCGTGACACTCTTTCTTGTTCCGCAGTTCTCCGTCCTGAGTGTCCTGGTTTTGCGGCACATTGTATCCACTGTTTTTGAAAAAGGCGCCGAGTGGATTCGATCTGTTGCCATCCTTTTGAGTCAGTGTCAACATTTTCCAGCCACCACGGGTTGCGTCCTTTTCGCACATTTCCCTCAAAGAACTTAACTCGTCTTGGAGGATTTTTAGACTTGTCAGACAGGTTTTTGCGCAATTTATGCCATCCTCATTCAACACCGTTATTTTTCCTTTTTCGGGTGACCCAGAGTCTTTGTCGTCCACCAACTGGCGAAGCTTCAAACCTGAGTACCTGGAGACATACGCCTTACCCAGCTCCTTGACCAGTGGATGGAAGCCTGTTCGCAACGCTTCCAGGATTGCAGGGGCCTGTCCCTCGCCGAATGTATGCGGAATTAATGCCTCGAGTTGAATTTTAAGTTTATCTAAATTATCTCTAAATTTGTAGTCGAAGTGCTGTGAGGTGACAAGCTTCTCAAGCAGAGTATGCAGCGCCGTGGCGGACGGTTTTATTTTTTCGAAGTCGGACACAAAATCAGTCTGCTGCTGCAAATGGTGGAAGAAGAATCCGTAAGCCTTATTCACTGTCTCAGACAGGTCGGCCAGCGTTTTCTTCTGTGACGGGTCATCAGCTGGCTGTTGGAGTTCTAATAGCTTGGGGAAGAAATCGTTAATTTTCTTGACGAAATACTTTTCCATCTTACCGAAGAAACCCTTTACGCCCGTCACTTTATCTTCATCGATTATTTTCCTCACCTCCGCCAATTTTTGCTCAACCAGCGTATGCAGCGCCGACAGGTCGGCGACGTGCTGCTCGGCGAAGAGTTTTTGAATGGCTTGTTTGATGGTGTCTTGTGCCGTTTTCACGACTGTTTCTACACCGTCAATAGCATTTTTCAACAATGTATTGGCGTCTACGACGGCCCCGTTAATATCCTTCAGTTTGTTCTCAATTTTGTTTTTCAACTCCTCCATTTTCTCTTTTGCTGATTGCTTCTTACTGTTAATGGTGCTCTGCTCTTTTATAGTTATGTCATTGAGGTCATTAATAACTTCGTTCTGTATCTCCTCGACTTTAGCCTTAAGTGTGCCGCCAGTATTCTGCAATATCGGAGTAAGCAACTCGATCTTATTTTTGACAACAAGCAATGCGTTGGTAATTTGCTGCCCAAGGCTGGAATCGTCGTAGAGCTTCCCGGGGATTTCACCGACGCGCTGCCGAACCTGCGTCAGGTTGGCAATTTTGGACGTAATCTTGAACTTCTGTAATTGGGCAGAGAGTTGCTTGGTAGTAGAGGCAACAGCAGTAAGTGTGGCTTTAACGGCGTCGACGAGATAAGGTTTGTGCGGGGAAGTAGAGGGTGTGGTCATTGACAAATGCTCATCCTCCCCGAGCTTTTCCTCAACAGCCGTAATTATTGTACTCTCCTGTGTTATAACTTTACTAAAGAACTGTGTGAGAAAATCTATAACGTCCTGCAAATCTCCATCTACAGTGCTGTTGGTTCCCAGCAATGTTTTGGGCTTTATTTGCTTAAGCGCATCGGCGACCTTATCTTTAAGTATCGAATTCATGTGGGATACCATGTCATCTACACTACCGCCACTTAGGTTACCGCTAAATTTCTTTTCATCGTTGTTTTTGGTAACATATGCCGTAATATACCCCTTCATCGGTTCTTTATCCACTATCTCATTTACCCACTCTCCAATTAATCTTCCAAACGCTGTCTTCCCACTGAAGCCACTAGCATACGTCCCGATACCGCTTACAATCCCTTTTATTCCATCAGTTGCATTCTGCCCATATATGTGATGGAAAACAAAGTTCCTAATATCCTCCTTCAGTTTATCCCAATTCCCTATTACGCCGGTCTTTTCGTTTGCCGTATTCTGGCCAACGCTCTCTTTCAACGTCCCAAACGCCTCCTGAGCCTGTGTAACAAGCCTCTCGATATCTACTTTTTTACCCATCAAACTATGGTAAACATTACTTGTCGCCATTTTTATTTCTTCAAACATCGATAAAATCTGGACTGTGGTAGTGCCCGTTGATTTATGCAATTCTTTCTCAACTAACTCACGGGAAGCATTCAACGAATCCGTAATGGTATTGAAATGCGCATTTCTAACTTTCGTTAGCTCATATAGTGCGTTGTAAATTGCAGAGAACTGAACGTGCAAAGTGTAATCTACAGTTTTCACCTGCCCCTCCAGCTCCTTGCTGTCCGCCGACCCCTTCAGCACCTGCACGGCGCTTTTCACAGGCTCTATCTTATGCATCAATTTGTCACGCAACACAGGATCTAAGACATTAACGTTATGAGTTATGAGTGATTCTAATTGTGCATCTAGTCCAGTGAGCGTTGACCTCCAGGAGGTCAACTGGTCTTGGAGCTTCATGCCTTGAGCACCTGCAATGTAATTAATTTTCTCTACGATGCTAGTGTGACCAAACTTACTAAATTCCATGAAGACATCCGTAGTTTTATGGTCCACCTGCGCACCATGTTTTTTCAACCACTCACTTACCTTATCCACGGCGGCCTGGAAGGCCTGACGGCCTTGACCTACATTAGTCTTAAGAGAGGAAATAACATTGTTAATATCATTATTATCATAAGTTTTCACAGCATCATCCTCCTTCACACTCTCAAGAACACCATGAAGGAAAGACATCACCCCGTCGCAGAGCCTGTCAAGGTCGGAGTACACGATGCCGGAGCCGGTGTAATTCCCATTACTAAGGCCGAGAAAATTTTCGAGGCCTGTGCAAAGGTTATTTAATAATGTTGTTGAAGGATTATTTTAGGCACATTTTTAGGGCGATTTGGGGGAATTTGGGGAAAGGCGATTTTAGGTCAAGGAGGCAGCGAGTGAGCGAGGGAGGTGGGTGGACAGGGTGAGGGAGGTCAAGGGGCGAAAGAGGGCGATGAAGGAGTAAGATGGGTTGAGGTAAGGGGATTTAGGGGGTGGAGGGAAAATGTGGAAAATGAGGATTTGGGTGAAGGACGCCGAAGGAGGAGGTGATGGAGGGGGTGAAGGGCAGGGAGCGAAGCGACCAGTGAAAGAGGGAGGTGGGTGGTTGAGTGGGTGGTTGAGTGGGTGGTTGAGTGGGTGGTTGAGTGAGTGGGTGAGTGGTTGAGTGGGTGAGTGGTTGAGTGGGTGAGTGGTTGAGTGGGTGAGTGAGTGGGTGAGTGGGTGAGTGGGTGAGTGGGTGAGTGCGTGAGTGATTAGGTGAGTGAGTGAGTGGGTGGGTGGTTGAGTGGTTGAGTGGGTGAGTATGTGGTTGAGTGGGTGGGTGAGTGGGTGGGTGGTTGAGTGGGTGGTTGAGTGAGTATGTGGGTGAGTGAGTGAGTGAGTGGTTGGGTGAGTGAGTGATACACAGATCACACGTGAAGGCACGATTATGGTGAGAAGTACTTGACGTTGGCGAGTGCCCTGACGCGTGCGGCGGCGAGGAGTGACTGCGCGGCGATGCGGTGGCTTGAGGGTGATCTCAGGTGCGAGCGTATCCTCAGGACGTCGAGGCGGACGACGGCGATGTGCAGCAGGTACAGGAGCGACAGCGACCAGAGGGCTAACAATGTTAGGGAGAATGGTTCCCTTATTTTCCAGAGGAAATCTGGTATGGTGACGTATATTAATTTGGCAAGTGGAGCTTCAACGTTTTTATCTTCATTGAGAACGTTTTTCAGCGCCTTGCAGAAATCCTTACATGTGCGTTTCTTTCCTGCGCCATATTCACCATTTAGGCTTTCTGCGTTGCCATATGTGAAACCATGTCTATACAGTGTCGGAAGTGTGTTTTGGCATTTAACAATCGAGCGGCATTCTGAATCATGGTTACATGGCGTTGATGTTTTAGAGGACACTGGACACTTCTTAACACAGCACTTGTTGTGGCAATTGGATCCCTTCGCACCGCATTTAGCATCGCACTCGTCGAACAATTTCTTAAGCAAGTCGTAAAACGTCTCCGTCAAGTAGACGATCCACGACAAGTAATTGCTTTTATGCTTGGATGAAAATATGCGGTAGATATTTAATGTTAGTGGTTGAACAAAGAGCCCACATGAATTTACTGAATCAGATGTGCAGGTTGATATGCTGTACAAATCACCCTTTATGTCGCTATCTACGTGACCAATACTACCATACAACGGGCTGGGATCAAAGGGATGTTCTTGACCGAAGTAGGCTTCGGTAACGGCGTCCTTAAGTGCTCTTTGCGTATGCACCGGCGATTCTTTGTTTCCATAAAAGCCACCAGTGTAATCCATGATGAAGCCCTGGTAAAACGCAAACATGTCACCAAGGTTTTGTGGAGCACGATGCGTAAGGCACACTAAGTAACCACATAGTTTGCTAAGAGGCTTCTCTGAATCACCGCATAAATCACGAAGCACTCTCATAAGACGTTCACCTTTCTGTGTTTGTGACGCCATTGTGCTGATCTCCCCAAATCCCATCGGAGTCTTGCACGGGATGCCTCGGTGGTTGGTAACTGAGCAAGTTAATTTGCAACCAGGAGAGGTAATTGAATGAGACAAGAAGCCTTGTAGACCATCTTCCAGAAAAGATTGGAAGGGGATTTCAGTCCGCAGTCACTGTGTTGGTTGGCTGTTTGCTTGACCGCTTGGTTGTGCTTTTGGTTACATGTTTGGTCAGCACATTGGAGGTAGTTACACCGCCAGCTGGACCCACCGACGTGCCGGCCGTAGTGACAGTCACGCCAGCCGCTGGTGCTTTTGCCACGGAGGCACTGCGTCAATACGAAGTAAAGTTGCTGGTATAGTCTTTGCAATATATCTAAGAGCATATCAAAACATACAGCAGCGCTACTGGGATACGATAGATTACTCGAGTTATTAAAGTGATCAACGGCATATACACCGTCAGCATGGCCGTAACCAAGCACGGCGATCAGCGGTTTTCTTGCGTTTTGGCATACTTTCTTAAGCAATGTTATTAAGCTACTATAGGTGATTGTCTCCGGATGAGCATCTAATTTCAGTAGTGCACTGGGTATATCCGAATACTTCGAATCTTTATACCCGTCAGGTTTGCCAAACAGTTCCATCAAATAATCACAAACTTTCTCAAACATGTAATTGTATTGCAAGCCACTACACCACTGGAGCATCTGGTAGATGTTAGACGGTGACTTGGGTTTTTCCGGGATGTAATGGTGACACACCTCGTTGTAACATTCGAGGTTGTTGTAAAGCCTCTTAAGGACACTGTAATTTTGTACACTCGTCTGGTCTACATAGTCATCATAGTCGTCAACGATTCTGTACGTTTGACTACTCTGGCCGTGTTGCTTCGTCATAAGATCATAAATATGCTCACCCTTTAACTTCGACTTGTTCCTCAACTCACCGTCGTGGCCATCATTTTCATTGGACACCCTGTAACCGGAGTTCTTGAGGAATGTTCCAAGGCCGGTATTAGAATATATAGTATTAGACGTCCACTTTTCTGGGCAGCGCTTTCGGAGGTTCCTCATGTCTCGGAACAATATAAAAAGGACTGTGGCACATACTTTAGAACACTTCCTACCATAATCCCTCAGCGTTATGATTGTGGTATTATTTGAGGGGGTTAATTCATATTTAGCGTCGACTAAGTTTTCCGTGAATTTCTGACTATCATACCTATTGACGTACGCGTGTTTCAACTCGCCGGTAACGCCAAGCATCCCTTTCTTCAGGGCGTCGAGCAATTCGGGATTCTGGTGGCCGGCGAATTTTTCGGCGGACAGGGCGTTGACTGCGTCGGTGAGTGCGGAGAGTTTTAGTTGGAATTCATAGTCGAAGTTGTAGAGTTTGTCAGATTTGGAGAGGTGGGAGAGTAATTTGTCGACGGCCTTTTGAATTTCTGCAACTTTCTTGGACTCCTCGCTATCTTCTTTCTCTCCTTCTTCGCCTTGCTCGGCGTCTTGACCTGTTCGGTGGTGTAGGAGAGGAGGGTGTCAAGCAGAACCTTGAGATCATCGGAGACGGATTTAACGTCCGTCAGATTATTTGACACAAACTGTTTTGGGTTGTCTGGCAACCACATTCTAATTTTAGTTAGGAAACCCTTGATTCCGTTTGCCAGATCCTTGTCAATTATATCTTTGATCTTTTGGCTTGGCGTTCGACCAGTTTGTGCAGCGCGGAGAGGTCTGCGAGTTTTTGGTTGGTGAAGAGTAATCTGGTTTCGGAGGTTAGTTTTTCGAATGCTGTTTTTACTATCTGGGTAAGCTCATTTATAAGGTGGGAGATGGCTTGCGTTAAATTTTGATACGCTGAGCGAACACTATTTTCTGCATCAAGAATTGCATTTCCTATATCTCTGCCGGCTGTGTTGGCATTTATTTCTATGTTACCAATTCTATCCAACAGATCACGTTTCAACTTCTCCATTTCCGTCTCTGCCCCGCTTTTCTGGGTTGCGACGTCTTCGGGGAGTTCTTTTAGATTTTTTAATTCTTCCTCAATTTGCTTAACGGCGTTGACCAATGCTTCTCTGCCTGCCTCGAACGGCGGCATTATAGTCTTAATCTCTATGCTACCACCCGGGCCAAGCTGATTAACACTATGTGTCATCGCTGTTTTTGCCGCTAACAATATTTCTACCTTAGCGGCGTGGTTGAAATTGTCAACTTCTTTGGCAAGATCTTTTGCAACTTGCTGAGTGAATATGTTTTCGAGATGATCCACATTCTGCTTTATTGCTAAAATCGATGTGTTAAGGGTTTGGGCGGGGCTTTCCTTTTGGTCGGCGGTGCGTACGGCCGGACTAGTCGCGTAATAAAGCTTCCTAAAAAGTCGTCAACTTTACCACTAACATCATCCACCTTTTTTGCCAAGTCCACTTTGTCGGCCAACCAAGCGAATGGTTGCCGGCTTTCGTCGCCACAACAAGGAGCTGAAGGAGCGTTGAACGGACGGCAGGTGCTAGACTAGAAGCGTCATGGCGTCCGTTGAGATGTGAATCCAGCACAGATGAATCTTGTTTAATCACGTCGGCTACGTTAGAGGCAGTAATTCCGTTTTGCTCAATCTGTTCTCGAAGCTTCTCGGCGAAACTGTCGCACGCCTTTTTCACGGCGTCAACATATTCTTTAATAATTTCGTTGGATTTCTCGGCTTTAGCAATACCATATTTTACTATTCGACCGGCTCCCTCGATTTCACCGCTTAGCTTGGTTTTAATAACACTCTTAATTGCCTGCTCGACTTTAGGTATAAGGGTCGCAGCTCCAAGCGATTTCTTATAATAATTCCTTGCCTGGTTATCCTTAACGTAATAACTAATCCCACTGCTAACCGTCTTATTCTCCTTCAATATATGTTCCACCCACTCTTCTACCTTCTTTTCAAATTTTTTCTCTTTAAAACCTTCTGCGTGTTGTGTCACTGTCTTTTTTATATCCTCCAGGCCATATGTTTTCCCTCAATTCCCTCAACCTTATCTTTAATATGCATTATAATATGTTTTATTGTTTTCGTTTGCTTTACAGCCCCGTTGTGCCAGTAACACTATCATAAAGGTCTCCAATTGCATTGTAAACGGCCTCCACCAAACTACTAAGTTTATCAACAATCGCCTTCTTAAATAAAGCTTCAAGATTCCCCGCAGCTGCCGAATTAGTTTGGCTTCTAGAACTTGTGATTTTTTCAAGTGATTTTTTTGCTTGCGCAAGATCTTCCAGCTGCTTACCAACAATATTATCATAGGCACCGACCTGGTCGGTAACTTTGTCTACCAGGCCACTAATCCTCTCCCTCAACGCCTGCAACCCATTACGCACGTTGCCTTCTAACAAGCCGACCTCGGTTTTCACTGCTTGAAAACTTTTCTGAAGCGTAGTGCTGTTGGCATCGTTGATGTAATTATCAAGTTGTCTTCTAATACCGATAAAACACTCGATCACCTTGTCTTTAAAACTGTTACTATAGTCACCGAATTCGCTTTCAACCGTTCCTTTCGCCATTGCAATGGCTTCTCTAATTTTCCCGAGGTGCGCTCTATTATTGTCACCTAAGCTACCAAGGTGCTCAAAAATTTTATTTATTTCATGTGTCACAGTGCTCTTTACCCTTTCGGTCTGCGCCTCTATAGCGTTTTCAATTCTCATCCTCTGCTTCTTCAACTGCTCCTCCACATGTGCTGCCTGGCCAGCAGACACCGTCTCATCAGCACACTCATTCAGCGTTCTAACAGCACCACCAATAGCATTCATTTCATTACGTAATTTATCTCTAAGATTAGGATCTATGTTGCTAACGTGATTATCTATAGTGTCTACATTGTACTGAATCTTGCCAATCGTGGATTGCCACTCCCTCAACTGCACTTGCAGCTCCTTCCCTTCTTGCTTCTCGACTTCCTTGTAGTATTTACCTGCACCAGATGATAATCTCTTAATCAACTCACCTAATTTAGTCTTCACCTCTCCAGTCTTGTCATTCACCTGCATCCAATATTTCTTAAGCCACTCACTTACCTCTTCAACCCGCTCACCAAAGACACTGCGTCCCTGGCCAATTGAAGATTGGAGATGTTGAAGGACAGTATGTAAATGTTCATTGTTGTTTAATTTAATGTAACCATCATATTTCTTAACGCTCTCATCATCCTTCACACTCTCAAGAACACCATGAAGGAAAGACATCACCCCGTCGCACAGCCTGTCAAGGTCTGAGTACACGATGCCGTCACCCGAGTAGCCTTTGGAATTTGGATTGTACCCCAAAAATGTTTGGAGACCTGAACACAAATTTGTTAAAAGCTTTTCACATTCTCCACCATTTTTCGTTTTAAGTGAATCAGCAAAATCACAAAGCTCTTTCAGTGTCTCAAGAGACCTCTTGGAAGCATTATGAGTGTCAAGAGATTTAGAAAGCTCCTTAATTTTAGAGGCATTTTTACTTTTATCTCCATCTTTATCAAGCTGTTTAAGCTCTTCAATGCTTTTATTAAGGTCATCAATTTTTTTAGCAATTTCATCCTTAAGCTGTTTTAAGGGATCTTGAAGCTCATTTAAATTGCACTGAGAAAGGATGTCAGCAAGATTTACAGGAGTTTTTTGTGCCTCATTAAGCTTATTTTTAAGGCTTTCATTGGCATCATTAAGATTATTTTTTTCAACATTGTAGTTACAACACCCCTCACCTCCGCAAGACGCTTGTAAACGCTTAATAAGCTGAGTTACATTACTGTGCAGACCATATAAAATTGCTTTTTGTACATCTCCACCGCCAATTAAACCCGAAAGCTGTCCAGCAAGCTGACCAAGAGAGATACGGCGGGCATCAATATCATCCAAGGTTTTCCCCCTGGCATCCTGAGTAAGGTAATGAACGTCATTGTAGTGATCATTATACTTGGATTAAAGGTGGATTAAGGGGGAGTTAAAAGGAGTAAAGGGGGATGAAATGGCACATTTTTAGGGCGATTTGGGGGAGTTTAGGGAAAGGCGAATTTAGGTCAAGGAGGCAGCGAGGGGGTGAGGGAGGTGGGTGGACAGGGTGAGGGAGGTGAAGGGGCGAAAGAGGGCGATGAGGGAGGAAGAGGGGATGAGGTGAGGCGGTTTTGGGGGTGGAGGGAGAAGGTGGAAAAAGAGGATTTGAGTGAAGGACGCCGACGGAGGAGGTGAGTGAGTGAGTGGTTGAGTGGTTGAGTGGGTGAGTGGGTGGGTGGTTGAGTGGGTGGGTGGTTGAGTGGGTGATTATGTGAGTGATACACAGATCACACGTGAAGGCACGATTATGGTGAGAAGTACTTGACGCTGGCGAGTGCCTTGACGCGTGCGGCGGCGAGGAGGGACTGCGCGGCGATGCGGTGGCTTGAGGGTGATCTCAGGTGTGAGCGTATCCTCAACACGTCGAGGCGGACGACGGCGATGTGCAGCAGGTAGAGGAGCGACAGCGACCAGAGAGCTAACAACGTTAGCATAAATGGCCATCTGATTTCTTTCAGGAAATTGTCGCACTCCTTGAACAGTGTCTGGAAATACTGTGAGTCAAGGACATTACGTAGTTGATTGCGGAAATGACTGCAGAACTTTTTGCTCGAACCTCCTAGTAATAATTTGGGATTCCCAAATGTAAAACCGTGAGTGTAGAATGTACTCAGTACGCCTCGACATTTTGCGAGCGATTTGCATTTACAGTTGTTACCAACGCCGTGTTGCCCCGGTGTGGTAGAATACGCTGAGCAACCAAATGCTTTGCAGTCAATATTCTGAAACGCGTCAAGCAGGTGTTTGAGTAAATTCCATAAGTTCCATGGGAGATAGATGGCCCACGAAAGATATAGATTAGCGTTTTTATGAGCAAGGTATGCATAGGAGTCTGAGCATAATGTGTGTAGGTAAGGAGCGCAGTGAACATATGAATCGGAGCAATAATCGTTTCGCGATAAACTCGACAGGTCTGTATATGCAGCGACATGGCTCCGAGTGCTATGATCACTGTCGCTCTCACCATACGCATCACGAAGAGCATCAGTAAGCTGGCTGGATTTATCGAGGAGGCTGATTGACAGGTCATCAATTGATGTTTCGAGTGATTTTTGAAGATCATTATCATGCTTTGACCCACCAAACTGCCATCCTCTAACAAGCGACATAGCAAAATTAAAGTGTTCGGGCAGTGTACTCGGCGGTTTGGGGACCAAGGTAAAGAGGCATTTAACATAGTCGTTACTTAGGAATTTGGTCAGCGCTTTGCATAGGTCTTCACCTTTGCGCGTGGTCCCAGAGAACCTCGTGAAACCAAGTGGCGTTAAACAGGGCATCCCAGGTGTGGATTTGGGGCAAGTGTTACATTTGGATGTGCATCCCACACTGGTTACATGGTGCGGTAGCATGCCTCTCAGACCGTCAGTTAAATATAAGTGCAGCGGCGATGTGCTGGAACACTTGTGGTCGGATGATTGATAAATAGCAGAATGTGGACCGCACTGCCAACAGGATGCCTGAATGGTATTTCCGTATGTACACTGCGACCAACCGTAATATTCGATTTTAAGCTGACACTGCGTTTGTAGAAATCTGAATACTGGAAATAGCTTTCGAAGGATGCTAATGAGCACATCAAAGCAAGCTTCAGCGCTCTGAGGATAATACAGATTCAGTTTGTTGTTGGAATATTCACACGCATACATGGTTTTAGCGTCGCCAGTTCCCACAATGGTAGCGAGGACACGTTGAGAGTGGCGACAGATATCTTTAAGCCTGGGAAGCAGGTACTCATACATGATAGTTTGTGGATGAGCGAACAGTTTTAATTGCTCACCCGCAAATTTGCCATGCTGCTCATCATTAATCTCGTTAGGTTTAGGGAATAGTGTCTTAAGGTGCCCGCCAAGTTTGTCATATACAGAATTAAACTGAAGGCCATTAAGCCACACTAACATCTCATTGACTGAACATGGATGCTTTTTCGCGGAGAATGTGGAGAGGTGACAGATTTGGTAGTAGGCGCGAATGTAGTCGCTACAAATAATCTCAAGCGAATGTTTATAGTCCTTATCGGTGTTGAAGAGACTACGAAAATCAGTGGAATCGGTAATACATTTATAAATATGCTGACCCTGCATTTTGATTTGATTCTGTATTTCGTTATTTTGTTTGTTCACATCAGGAACGCGATATCCACATTTGTGCAGATATTTACCTAGCAAGGTATCTAGATTGATTTTATCTATAGATTTGCTTGATATAAAATAATTTTTCAACCGGCTAAGATCATCATGAATAATTGTCAATATTGAAACACAGATCTTCGCGCCGACTACAGCGTCCTCAGTCAACACATGTTTATTGTTTATTTTCCGCGTCCATTCGAAATATGTATCTGGATGTCCTTCGTACGCATTGATATATGCATACTCGAACTCCTTACAAAAATCTGTAGTGCCACCTTTGAGTAGGTTAAGCAACTCGGGATGCTTACCATCGCCGAATTTCTCCGAGCTTAGTTCCTTAACAGACTGTGTAAGTGATGCTAATCTCTGTCTAAAGGTGTGATCAAAGTTATATGATTTGTTGTTACCATTTATTAAATGGTCTAGCAATTTGCTAAGATGGCTCTGAATTTCGCTAAGTTTAGTAGCATGAGAATCTGCGGGCTGAGACGGAGACCTCCTTGGTCTTAATTCACCGTCCACATATTCAAAAAGCGCATCTAAATAACCAACAGTTTTAATGGCTAGTTGTTTTAATGGAATGCCTTTTACCAGGGGTGCCTGCGAAGTCTTCAAATGCGTAGTAATTCCACTCTTCAATTCCCCCAAGAATCCCTTCACCCCCGTCGCCTTATCCTTCTCAATAACCCTTTGGATCTCCGCCAACTGCGCCGTGACGACGCTCTGCAGCTGCGTGAGCTCGGCCTGCTTCTGCTTCGCGAAGAGGGAGTGGACTTGGTGGGTGAGGGTGGAGAAGGCTTGTTGGACTTTCTTTGTGAGAGTAGTTCTCAGCGTTTGTACGGCCTTTTGGGCTTGTTGTTGCGCAGCTTTGAAGGCGATGACGACATCTTCGGTGGCTTGATTCAGGGTTAGTTCAGCCTTGTTGACAATGGGACCAATTTTCTCAATTTGGGTTTGAATGGCAACGATATTGTCGTATAATCGAGACATCAGTTTTTCTGACTCTTTCTGCGCAGTATCAACAGCAGCCGGCACAAGTTCCAACTCATCAACTGCCTCAATAACCTTATGGATGGCCTTGTGGATTTTACCGGGGTGTTCAGCAAGCTCACTGATTTTCAGGTCGTTGAGTTCGTATCTGATTTTCTCAATGCCTTTGACAGCCTTGCCTTTTAACTCCTTTAATTCGAGGGCAACTTTAGTGCCGTCACTCAGCATATCATTTAATGCACTCAGATAATCCCTGACGCTATCTTTGTTGTCACTTTTTTCAACCATTTTTGATACGGTGCCTAGTTGGGTTTTTACTTGTTGGATGGCTACTTCGATGTCTCCGTTATTATTATCTATCGTAGATACAGCTTCTGTGACCCCCTTTGTAAAGCCTCCTAATGGTGTAATTTGGGAATCAAGTTTGATCTCATCCTGAAGCTTATCTACACCTTTTTGAGCGGCAGCTATGATAAGATTCTTAACTTCATTGTCAACTACGTCACCGATGGCCTGTTTTCCGAATACATCTTGAAGCGATTTTAGGGGGTCTGGTTTTGACGAGAATTTGATTGCAGCCCAATTATCCATGCTCTGTTTAAAGTGGTTCAGCGTAATTTCTAAATGATAAAAAGCATCAGTTAGATTATTATGAGCTTTTAAATTGGCCTGATGAAACAACTCTCCTAATTCCCTCAACTCATTTCCCAACCTACCACTCTGCAAAGCTCCAACTAAGTTGGAAACGCCCGGCCTTGTATTACCAGACCACGTAGCTTGACCAGCTGCCTTCTCCAATGACTGCGTCAGCTCCTTCACATAATTCTTAACGTTGCTGCTAATTTTACTTGTAAGTGGGGAAATGCTATTATTAATATCCCAATCGCCGCCCGTGTAACTAGTCATGGCTTGGGGCACCTGGACATCCTCTTTAATTTTCTGCAACTTTAAATGCGCCGTGCTGGCCTTATCGACTAAATCTGAAATCTTTATCGTCGCAGCCTTATAAGCGTCATTGAGTTCTTTTGCCTTCCTCTGAATTTCCGGAAACCTCACATTAAACGTCGGCTCCGCATCCGGCTTAAGCGCAGCGATTATACCATTACACTTGAATACCGCCGCACTTACGACCAACTGCGCCTTTGTTTTCCAATCATCCAACGTACCGATTTGTTGGCCGACGTGCGCACCAACTGTCTGAAGCTCCCAGCGGATTTGTTCAACATCCCTCCGCAGTTGCGATTTGTTGTTAGCGGCAGGCTCCTTTTTTAATTCCTTCAGTTTCTCTTTTATGTCTTCAAACGATCCTATAATTGACGATCTGTAATTGTCTTCATACTCATTAAGTATATCCTGAACAAACGTTTTTGCTTCTTCAACACTCCCATGCACTAATAGGAACTGTGCATCCTTAGTTTGGGACAGCCTTTCTAGGCTACGCTGAATTCCATCTAAATAGTTATCCAAGGTTTGCCGGAGCTTTTGAGACCGATATTCAACAGCTGCAACAATTTCCCTGTTCTTCTGATCTAACGTGGCATCAACAATTTCAGCCTGTGTCGTAACATCTTTATCGTTAGCAGCATTTTTAAGAGTTCTAACCGCTTGTTTCACCGACTGCACAGCAGGTGTTAATTTAATTCTGAGACCTTCGTCTAGGTCTGAATTCGCCAGCTCGATACCTATGGCCTTCAGCGAACACTCAGCGGCCCCGGCCACCACAGTTTTCAACTGATCACTAAGTGACATAGTATGCATATTATTAAATTCATTATTTAGTTCGCTAATTGTGGCTATGAGTGAAGTTAATTGTGTCTTGACGTCTTCCGTTTTTGTAGATAAAACACTCTCATACCCCTGCAGCCCATCCCGCACAATCCCAATGGCCTGCGCAAATTCTGGAACACCCGAGCCCTTACCTATTTTATTTTCCAAGTCACTAATTGTACTTGTAATTGAAGGGTAATAATGACTTAGAAGATTTTCACTCCCCCGCAGACATTGGAGGAGAAACGCCATCACCCCGTCGCAGAGTCTGTCGAGGTCCGAGTACACGATGCCGGAGCCCGAGTAGCCTTTGGAAGTTTCTTGGTAACCAAGGAACTTCTCCAAGCCAGAGCACAGGTTATTTAAAAGATCTTTACAGCTTCCAGTTTTATTACTTTCAACAGATGCTTTCTTATTTTTAAGGTCAGCCAACGTAGACGACAGTCTCTTCAACTCCTCAAGTTTAGCGGGGTCATTAGAGTGATGTGACATACAATTTGTTTTAGAGTTTTTAATGCCCTCTAGATGCTCTGTTAGAGCTTTAAATTCTTCTTCTGTGAATGTATCAGGGTTGTTAATTTTGTTTTTAATTGACAGCATTTTGTCCTTATGGTCCTTACAATTGACAGACGGCCCACATACAGTATTAAAGAGGCCAACAAAAAGCTTTTCAAGCCTCTTAATTTCATTATCAATTAGTGTTTCAATGCTCTTTTCAGAGCCACTAAACTGTGTAAGCTTCACAATAACATCAATGCCGTGATGCACTTCCTCCTCAAGGGAGGACGCACGCTGCTGGTCCATGAAATGGGACTTAGTGCAGTCATCTTTGTTGGACTGTAATTGCTTAATTTTAGATTCTAAGGAGGATATTTCAGAAGTTTTATTAGAGTTTTTAGCTTCATTAAGTTCTTCATTTTTGGACTTAATCTGCTCATCAAGCTGACTACAGTAGGAGTTGGGATCATGTGGATTTTGGGAGCAAGAGAGCTTGTCGGATTTGTGTTGAAGGGAAGTTGTAGCCTTAGTAATAGCCTCATTAATCAACTTTTTCAAAGCTTCAGCCAACTTTTCAAGACCTTGACCACCATTCCCATGCTTAACCTGGATCAACCAGTCGATGGAGGCCGACGAAGGAGGCCGAGAAGGGAGGTCAAAAGAGGTGATAGAAGAAAGTGGAAAAAGAGTTAGAGGGCAATTAGAGGAGATGAAATGGAACATTTCTGAAAATTTTTAGAATTTTTTAAGAAAGGCGATTTTAGGTGAAGGAGGCAGCGAGGGAAGTGGGTGGACAGGGTGAGGGAGGTGAAGGGGCGAGAAAGGGCGACGAAGGGAGAAGATGGGTGGAGGTAAGGCGATCTCGGAGGTGGAGGGAAAAGGTGGAAAATGAGGATTCGGGTGAAGGACGCCGACGGAGGAGGTGAGGGAAGGGGTGATGGAGGGAGCGAAGCGACCAGTGAAGAGGGAGGTGAGTGGTTGAGTGGTTGGGTGAGTGGGTGGTTGAGTGAGTGGTTGAGTGAGTGAGTGAGTGGTTGAGTGGTTGAGTGGTTGAGTGGGTGGGTGAGTGGGTGAGTGGTTAGGTGAGTGGGTGATTAGGTGATTGGGTGAGTGATTGAGTGGTTGAGTGGGTGAGTGAGTGAGTGGTTGAGTGGGTGAGTGGTTGAGTGGTTGGTTGAGTGGGTGAGTGGTTGAGTGAGTGGGTGAGTGGGTGAGTGAGTGAGTGGGTGGTTGAGTGAGTGGGTGGTTGAGTGTGTGGGTGAGTGGGTGGTTGAGTTGGTGGTTGAGTGGGTGAGTGGGTGAGTGGGTGGTTGAGTGGGTGAGTGAGTGATACAGAGATCACACGTGAAGGCACGATTATGGTGAGAAGTACTTGACGTTGGCAATTTTCCCAACCCTTGCAACGGCGAGGAGGGACTGGGCGGCGATGCGGTGGCTTGAGGGCGAGCGCAGGTGGGAGCGTATCCTCAGGACGTCCAGGCGGACGACGGCGATGTGCAGCAGGTACAGGAGCGACAGCGACCAGAGGGCTAGCAATGTCCAGATGAATGGCGCGCGTATGGTGAACATAAATGTGTCGATGGCACTCAAAAAGTTTTTGAGAAACGTGGATTTCAATATGTGATTAACGGTTTCACAGAAATAAAAGCATTGTTTCCTGCTTTTGTCAGAGGCGTCACTAAATGTTAAACCATATTGATAGAATACGGACAACACTCCTCTACATTGCACCATTGACTTGCATCCACATGGTTTACAGCCGTGTTTGCCCCGCCTACAGGAGGTATCATTCAGGCATCCTCTGCATCCGGTATCGTAACACGAAATATCACAATAGGCCTCTCTCAAGCTTTTAAAGAATGTGACGATACTAGGGCATATGTATGACAACCACGACAGATACTTATCGGCGTGTTTCGGTGAGAAAATGGAATATGCAGGGCGGTTAAGCATTTTGATATAATGCCCACATTGGTCATTTTTACAACCAATCAGATATTTGAGGTCGAGGTTATCATTCATGTTATGATTGTCATGAGCCGTGGAATGATAAAATTCTCGGCAGGGTCTAAGAAGATTCTTCGCATCATCATAGTTACAAGAGACTATTTCCATGATTTTGTCGCAAATGTGTCTCTGTATGCTTTTGACATCAAACTCAGCTTGCCGATCAGGCATCCACCTCCACGAATGCGTGAGTTGACAGTAGAAAGATAGTACGTCGGGAAACGTCTGTGGAGGACGAGCAAGGTAACATGTTAGTGAATAGTAGAGTGCGGTGAGAACGCTGTTGTTATCACATATATTGCGGAGCACAGAACACAAGTCGGCGCCTGTTTTGATGGAACCAGAGAAGCCTCTGAAGCCAAGAGGTGTTAAGCATGGCATTCCGGGCTGCCCCTTAGAGCATGTGCTGCATACGGATTTACAACCGACAGATGTAAGTTGATGTGGAAGGTGACCAGGTAAGCAATCGTTTAGGTAGCTCATAAGTGGTGAGGTTGGTTGGCAATTTGGTTGGTCGGTTGGTTGACTATTTGGTTGGTCTTTTGGTTTGCTATTTGAATCATTATTACACTGCGATTTGGCTGTCAACACATCCCTGCCGTAGAGGCAGTCTGCCCAGCCACTGTGCTTAGTGGTCAGACTGCATTGGCTGAAGAGGAATTGCAGTACTGGGAATACTCTGCGAAGGATGTCGAAAAGCATGTCAAGGCACTCGGTTCCTCTAGAAGGATAATACAATTTGAGAGAGTTGTCTTGATATTGGCAGGCGTAATACGTTGCCGCATCGCCCGTGCCTGCTATCGTGGTTAGCAGTGTCTGTGAATACAAGGATACGCGAGGCAGATGAATAGATAAAACTTCCGATAGTTTTGTTTTGAGCAATATATCTTTTTCATCATTACGCAACGTTTCACACTGCTTCATAAGTGACCCATAGGCAGAGTTGTATTCCAGGCCACCCAACCAACAAAGCATATCGAAAATGCTACACGGGTGATTGGCACCTTTTATCTGCTTCAGGTGGCAAACCTTTTGATATGAGGATATGTGAGAGAAGTGCTGGAACAGAGAGGAGAGAATGTCACACTTAGTCTGTTTATCTGACTTGAATAGGCCAACAATCTTTTCAGCATTGAAGCCCTCCTTGTGATTCAATTCTCCACGCTCAGTGTCTGGACTACGGCCAACGTCGTAACCATGTCTGCGGAAGAAGAGATTATATAGGCTAATGTTAGGATCACGATTATACATCAAATGTGTTGTCCACTTATTTTTCGTATCATTAAGTTGTCTGTTAAGTTTGCCTAAAGTGGTGAACATACAAGGAATAATGCTGAAGCATATTCTGGCGTATTTTGTTTCATGGTTTTCTTCCCATTTTCGGCCGGAGTACTCATTAACATACGCCTTATCTAACTCTTCAGTAAAGGACAGCATCCCCTGCTTCAGGGCGTCGAGGGTAGGACAGGACGTGGCGCCGAATTGTGCAGGATTGAATGAGTTAAGTGAATTAATGAGTGAGTCAAGCAATTTAAGAAATTCGTGATCAAAGTTGTACATATTGTCAGTGTTGCAAATATACTTAAGTAAAAAGTCGAGGGCGCCTTTCAGTTTCTGAATTTTACCAAGATATGTGTGCTTAGGTGAACCCTGAGAGTCGAACGTTCTATCAATTTCTCTCCACACGTAAACGGCAATGGTATCTAAATAATTTTTGGATGCCGCTGCCAATTTATCTGCGCTTTTCAAATTTGCTTCTTCTTTAAGTTTCTCAAGCAACGTAGTCTCAGTTGTCAGCGAAGGTGAGTACTTCCCGCCGTAGACCTTTTGCATAAAACCCTTTACGCCGGTCACTGAATCGTCATTAATTGTCTTCGTGATATTCTCAAGCTGCGCATCGACAATTGCCTGTAACTCCTTTACCTCCTTGGTCTTGCGTTCTGCGTATAGTTCCCTAGTTCGTTTTTGAAGGTTTTCGAACCCCCTAGTAATCTGCTCATTGACGTCGTCACGCAATGAGTTCATAATTCTTCCGCATTCCTTGGGAGCTTCAGTAAGCAGACTCTGAGCCTGTTTAACGCAACCAAATAGCTCATCACTTACCGTTTCGACGTGCTTTTTAACTTCCTCAACTTTTGTACCAAGCTCAGTGACGTCCGCTTTAAGCTGCTGCAATTTTGAGTAAATACTGTCACCTTCTTTCTCGTCATTCTCCTTTCCGACACTCCTTTCGATGTCTATAATCTTCTGGTTAATCTTGGTTTGGAACTCAGTCACCAGCCACTCGAGGCCGGAGACATCGACATTGCCGAGGCCGTTCGCATTGATACTTACAGGAGACTCGCTTTGCTGTTTTAGAACAGCATGGATCTGCTCCACGTTTCCGTGTATAGCCGTAGCCACGCTCTGAATCTCAGCCTCCACCTTCTTCTGAAATGCCGTCGTGACCGTCCGGACGACTTCATCGGAGTGCGTAGCGACGGCATGAGCTATTTTGGCTAATGCGGGTAGAAGAGCTTTAAGAGGTTCTCTAATTTTAGAACCATCTATGCTTTCCATTTTCCCAAGTTCCTGCATCATTTCGTCAACTTGTGGCACAGCCGACACTTTAGACTTGAAATTCAAATGCTGTAGACCGTCAATTGACTGATCACCAAGCCTAATGTTTGTCACGTCAAGACCCGAAATAGAGCCCGTACCATCCAAAATACTCTTAAGCGCACTGAGGGCTTTTTTCAATTCAGACTTACCTTCGTTAAATGCATCGCTGATTGAATGGTTGCCACAGAAGCCGACAAGCTTCTCCAGTCCCTTCCCAATCTCCGTAATCGCCGACTGGACTTTTGACATAACTTGGGAGTCAAGATCACGGAAATAAATTGTAAGAGAGCCGAACGCATTTCCTTTTTGGATAGACTGGAGCAATTGTGTATCCGTTGCTAGCAACCCAACCTGTCTGAGGTCCTTAAGCTTATCTAAGTCTCTCTCAACTTGCCCGATGGTCGAATTCAGTGCTCCTTGAGTCTTATTTAATTCCGTTTTCAACAGATTCGAACCCTGCACAATAGTCTTTAACTTATCAACAACCTCCCCTTTATACTTTGGAACAAGATCCTCAATACCCTTGTTCACCGTCTGGAAGGCATTGTAGAGATCTGCGGTGACGGATGTTACCAATTTATCAAATTTGTCGTCACGCAACTTTTTGAGCCTGGTATGTAAGCTCCCAATATCGTTGCTCAAAAAATTAAGAGCACCTTTAATTGTTGCGTCAAACCTATCATTCAGGTACTTTAGCATCTGATCCATTCTTGTCTGCGCTGTGTCATAAATGACGTCCAAGTCCTTGTTCACTGCGTCTTCCACGAACCCATTTAAAGCCTGCAACAACAATTTTACATTACATTTCAACTTACCTGATAGCGCAGAATCTACGTTTTCTAAGGCCTCATCGGCCTCCTGAGCTTTCTCAATGTACCAGGCTGCACGGCCAGTCCAGTTGGCAATTTGATCGGAGATCTCAGATTCCTTTTCTTGTTGAATCAATTCCTTGTGTTTTGCAATTGATGCCTTGATCTCATTTATCGGAGTCGTAACTTTCTTGATTTTCCCGTCCACCTGCGCACCATGTTTTTTCAACCACTCACTTACCTCAGTCACGGCCTCCGGGAAGGCCTTACGGCCTTTACCTACACTATCATTTAATTTGTTGATAACATCATTAATTTTAGGAGTAATATAATTATTGTATGTTGTGACGTTATCATCATCTTTTACACTCTGAAGAACTCCATGAAGGAACGCCATCACCCCGTCGCACAGCCTGTCAAGGTCGGAGTACACGATGCCGGAGCCGGTGTAATTACCATTACTGTAGCCGAGAATTTTTTCGAGACCTGTGCAGAGGTTATTTAATAATGTTGTTGAAGGAATATTTTAGGCACATTTTCAGGGCGATTTGGGGGAATTTGGGGAAAGGCGATTTTAGGCGAAGGAGGCAGCGAGGGAGGTGGCTGGACAGGGTGAGGGAGGTGAAGAAGTTGAGAAATGATGAAGGATTATTTTAGGCACATTATTAGGGCGATTTGGGGGAATTTGGGGAAAGGCGATTTTAGGTCAAGGAGGCAGCGAGGGAGTGAGGGAGGGGTGAAGGCAGGGAGCGAAGCGACCAGTGAAGGAGGGAGGTGGGTTGAGGAGAGGCGATTACGGAGGTGGAGGGGAAAAGGCGGAAAATGAGGATTCGGGTGAAGGACGCCGACGGAGGAGGTGATGAAGGGGTGAGGCAGGGAGCGAAGCGACCAGTGAAGAGGAGGTGAGTGGTTGAGTGAGTGGTTGAGTGGGTGGGTGAGTTGGTGGTTGAGTGGGTGAGTGGGTGGGTGAGTGAGTTGGTGGTTGAGTGGGTGAGTATGTGGGTGAGTGGGTTAGTGAGTGATTAGGTGAGTGGTTGAGTGAGTGGTTGAGTGAGTGGTTGAGTGGGTGAGTGGTTGAGTGGTTGAGTGAGTGGGTGAGTGGTTGAGTGAGTGGGTGGTTGAGTGGTTGAGTGAGTGAGTGAGTTGGTGAGTGATTAGGTGAGTGAGTGGGTGAGTGGGTGGAGTGGGTGGGTGGTTGAGTGGGTGAGTGAGTGAGTGGGTGGTTGAGTGGTTGAGTGAGTGGTTGAGTGATACACAGATCACACGTGAAGCCACGATTATGGTGAGAAGTACTTGACGTTGGCGAGTGCCTTGACGCGTGCGGCGGCGAGGAGGGACTGTGCGGCGATGCGGTGGCTTGAGGGCGATCTCAGGTGTGAGCGTATCCTCAGGACGTCGAGGCGGACGACGGCGATGTGCAGCAGGTAGAGCAAAGAGAGGGACCAGAGGGCTAACAGTGTCTGGGAGAATGGTTCTCTACTTCGCCATAAATACATGTCACACTGAGTAAACAGCTTTTCAAAATGCTTGGAGTGAAGGATTTTGTGAAGCTGTCTTTGAAAATCGAAGCACTTCTTCATAGACTGTTTTTCACAAAGCGTCCATGGTGTACCAAATTTAAATCCATACCTATACAACGTTGGTGATACCCCTTTGCAAGCAAGTAAGGAGGGACACTTACATGATGTGTCCAGCTTACCGTGCTCTCCTCTCCTACATTTATCGCCATGCATACAATTATGACATCCCCAGTCCTGGCAGAAAATAGCTTCAAACGCATTGTATAGACATTCAAGATAATCGTACAATACCCACGGCAGATAAAGTGCCCAGGACAGGTATGTGCCAGAGTGCTTCCGGGAAAGGTAACTGTATTGATCGGTGCATAGAGCGGATAGGTAAGGAGCGCAGTGAACACCTTGGCCGTTACATGCTGTGGCCATACAGAGGCTTGACAAATCGGCATTTGTAAGTTCATCGTCCTTTGCTTTAGGAGATGCAGTATGTTTCTTAGTACTCTCATGACTACTCTGGCTGCTACCGTAAGCGTCACGAAGTGCATTGGTAAGCTCGCTGGGTGGGTCATAGAGGTGTATGGATCGATCTCTGATGGATTGTTCAAATACGCATTGAAACCCATTTTTCACTAGCTTAGTTGAATCACCTTGCCATCCCCTTACCAGCGACAACACAAAACTGAAGTGTTCTGGTAAACTAGACGGCGGTCTGGACACAATGGAAAATATGCACGAAACATCATAGAAGTTAAGGAACGCATCGATGATTCTGCAGAGATCTTTCCCCGTTTTGGTTGATCCTGAGAACGCTCTAAAGCCTAATGGAGTAAGACACGGCATACCGCTGCTACGTGGAGAGCACGTGGAACATACAGTCTTGCAGCCAACATTTGTCAACTGGTGTGGTAGGTGCCCAGGAAGAGTGTCAGTGAGGTACGACATTAAAGGTGATGTTGGTTGGCAATTTGGTTCGGTGTTTGCCTGGCAGTTTGGTTGGCACGTTGGTTGCTCATTTGCTTTGCCCCTTGGGTGGTCCCTACACTGCCAGTTTGCCGGTGCGACAGACTTACCGTATGCACAGTCCGCCCATCCGTAGATGGATGCTGGATGACCGCATTGGCCTTCCAAGAATCTAAACACGGAGAACAATCGGCGGAGGATGTCGAGTAACATGTCAAGACATTCGGCAGGGTTGGATGGATACCTTAATCGAAGTGCGTTATTAGAGAAGTCAGAAGCATAGACGGTATGTTCGTTGCCTGTACCAAGGATCGTAGTCAGCAAACTATGTGAATTATCGCAAAGATGTTCAATTATTTGGAAGACATTGTGCGCTGTTATTATGGAAGATTTTTCTAGTCTTAGATCTCTGGGATCTATCTCGGAGTATTCCATTGTCTTTTTCGTTTCGGGCTTAGCGCAATACGTCTTTATGTGTTCTTCAAGCTTGTCATGTATGGGATTATGTGAGAGGCCGTTGAGCCAAACCAACTGTTCGTAAACATTGCATGGTGGCCTGGGTGCGTTGTTAATTTCAAGGTGGCAGGTACGGAAGTATGTACTTAGGTGGGCGAAAAGCTTTGGGATGACACCATCCTCGTTAACAAGCTGTATTGTCAGCTCATCAGTGTCCTTAGGAATTATATCGGAGGCTTTACGTGACATATCACTTGTATCAAACAATTTATTTGTTCCGTTTGTTAAATGACCGAGAATGCGATTGCCATTGCACTCAGTCTTGTGATTCAACTCTCCGTGCTTGGCGCCGTGAGCAAGGCCATTATCGTAGCCGTTCTCTTTAAAGAAAAGTCTATGTAAGCTATGCTGAGATTCACTTGAATTATATATTTTGTAATCATTCCAGTTATGTTTATTTTCAAGTTTTTCTTTAAGGTCACCTAATGCGCTAGACACGATGGGAGTTATGGTGAGCATTATTTTTGCGGCATTCATGCCGTCCGGCGTCAACTCTTTTTCGTTCGACTTTTGGCCGTCCTCTGATGTTTTATCCTTCAGCAATGTAGTAAAGTCTATTTTGTCATGCCCATCATACGCATTAACATACGCTTTGTCAAGCTGCGTGCAGAAATCATTAAGCCCGCACTTAAGGGCGTCAAGTAGTTCGGGATGGTGCGGGTTGGTAAATTTGTGGGAGGTGAATGTTTGAAGTTGTGTTTTAAGTGCGGCTAGTTTATCGGTGAAATCGTGGTCGAAAAGGTATGTTTTTTCGCCAGTCTTAGTCTGTGTTTTCCTAAAGTGGTCAAGCAGGGTGTTGAAATTAGAGTGTACATCTACGAGTTTAGTAAGGTTGTCGTCCGCCGTCTCAGGCAGAGACTTTTCTTTAAGTTGCTTTTTGATTTCGTCACTAATGTACTTGTGAATTGGAGTGAAGTATTTGTGGAATGCATTTACTAAATTTATGAAAGTGTCCTTCATGGATGCAGCTTTCCCAGCTTGCTGACTTGGGTCGTAGGCTCCGACAGCCTCTTGGATTTTACCAAGCAAAGTGTCTGTTTTCTGTGCCGGAGGTTCTTGCCCACTTGGAGTCTCCGGCTTCTCCACGCCTCCCATGCGTAGCATAAATCCTTTGTGGCCTACTGTCAAATCCTTCGTGATTTCGCGGGGAAGACTTCTCAGTTCCTCCGTTACCTTCTCGGCGAACTTAGTTAACAGGCCCTTGACGGATAGAACGTACTGCTTCTTGGCGAGGGTGGTGAGGGTTTCGGTAGCATGTTGGACTTGGGAGTTGACGTTTTGCGTGAGGGTGTTAATACAGTATGTTTCCATTGACCCGGCGTCCTTGTCGATGAAGCGCGTGCACTGCGCGATGGGACCGTCTTGGAGTTTGCTTTGCAGCATGCTAAGATTTTTATAAAGTTTTTGGAGACTGTTAGCCGCGTTCTTCCTCAAGCTTATCTTGTCATTCTTAAAATCAGTGAGTTGCTTGTTCACTTCTTTGCCGGCGTCGGAAAACGCTTTCAATAGCTCTTTGAGGTTATGCTGGATTTCTTCGGAGACTCTTTTGAAGGACGCAAATTGGCCAATATATTGGTCAGCAGCTTGATAATCCTGCTGGGCCTTACTCTTAATCCCGTCGAGCGCCCCCTCAATCTCCGCCTTGATCTTCAAGAGGCCTTTGGGACACTTGGGGTTATCTCCCCACTCTTGATCATTATTACCAAGACCATTGGTTTTCAACTCATTCAACCAGTCCTGGATGCCATTGTCATTATCACTAATGGACGTCCCCTTCTTCTCCTTATCGACGTAGTGGGCGATGGCCTGGAGCTCTTGTTCGATTGTGGAGAGATGTTGGACTTTTTTTTTAGCCTTTTCTACTGTTCCTGCTTTAAGTTCAGATTGTTCTTGACTGAATCCACTCATCCCCTTGAAGGGCTGCAGCGCCTGGGGGATGTCTACGTCAGTCAGCTTTCTGTACAGGCCTTGTGGACCTGCTGGATTGTTTTTCTTTCCGTCATAAGCTGTCATGATTTCTTCGAAGTTCTTATTAACATCTAGGTCATGATCAGCGTCGTCCTTCATTCCCTTGTTGACTTCCGTCTCAATGGCCTCAACTTTCTCGGCAAGAGGGTCGCTGTTGGCAGCCTGCTTTTTGGTTGCTGTGTTATGCGCCGTTTCGAGACTACTGAAAAGGCTTGTAGCTACTGGAAGGATCTTGCTCACTTCACTGATCTTTGACTCACTGGCAAACCGCTGCAGTTCTAAGGCGAAGTTCTTCGCGGACACAGCGACGGAGTAGAGAATGTGTTTGACAGTAATCTCCAGATAATTCTTGCTAGTAGCCGCGCTCAGATCAGCATGTTGCGAAACCTCATTTGCAACCTGGGTAGACTTGTTGCCCAGATCCTTCTCAACTTGATCTGCAAAAGCGCTGAACCTATCAGCAATATTTTCCACCGTTGCGTCTTTAAGCTGCTTTGTCGCAGCTTCAGGAAACACCGTTTTAATAGCTCCTGGGAGGTTGCTTTTAAGTGCATTTTGTACCTTGATCCGATCCACCATACCACGGTTTCCGGTATCGCCGAGGTAATTACTAATATTCCTGTACACCGGTCCACCGGCCTCTTCCACGATCGTCGTAATCCACTTCTCTAAAATTTCTTTTTCAAACTGACTACCAACTTTCGCGGCATATCCCTTTATACCACTCTCAATCCCATCCAACCCTTCTGTTCCACTCCCCTTAATCTTCTCCACTCTCCCCTTAATATCCTTAAGCATCTCTCCAACATGCTGCTTCATCTTCTGCACAATACTATCTCTGATTCTCCCCAAATCCGTTTTCATGCCGGCTTCCAACTCTGCAACGGCGGCGCCAACTTTTGCAGTCAAACCCATAAATTGAGTATGCGCCTGGCTGTACGCAGTCAAAGGTCCGTGGCTTTTTTCTGCAATGCGTCAGCTTGCTTTTTAATTTCCGGTTCGCCACTATCCTTGATCTCAGATTTTCCCAGTATTAAATAACACTTCCCCTGCGCCGCTCCCACAACCTTCCCGGCCGCGGCGCTCCAAGTGTCCAGCTCGTTGACTTCTTTCTTTTTCGCTGCGTCAACCAAATGTCCAACTTCATTCTTCGCATACTCAAATCGCCGATGCAACTCCTCACCTTTCTTCTGCAACTCTTTTGCCTTGTCTTCAACATTCATTTGGTTTAGAATGCCGGGGGCATTTTTCTCAATTTTGTGTACATCCTTCATGACTTTCTGGAAGAAAGCATCGGCATCACTGATCCATCGTTTTAACTGCTCAACATAATTTCCCAGCATCTCACTAATGCTTACTAGTTTATCTTTAATCGCGGAAACCTCACTGCATAAAAACTTGACAAGGCTCTTCACCTGCGTGGTAATGCTACGATTCACGCTGTCATTAAGGCCCTGAAGAACGCTCCTAATTTTTGCTTCCGTCTCTCTTAGCTCCTCACTTTCCTTAGTTGAGAGCTCAGTGAGCCTGTCACTCTCATGCTTCACTGCTTTCGCAGCTACTACTACACGCTCATGTAATTTAGGATTAAGATCATTAACTGCGTTTTTCATTTCGCTATTAGTGGCTAAGTTAAAGGCGTCATTGAACTCCGCAGCTTTCTCCTGGCACTCCGCCAGCTTCGCTTCCACTTCCCTCTTGGCCTCTTCCACTCGTCCGGCGTTCCCTTCTTGGTCCCTAGGTAATATTGCAGATACTCCACTCTTGAACTTCTCGTCAACCTGCGAAAGTATTTTTGTAATTGGCTCACTCACCTTTCTGTTCGACGCCTTCACACCCTCATTATACCCCTTCACCCCCTCCACCACTGCGCCAATCGCAGTATTAAAACCATTTTTACCAGAGTGTTTATGGGTGATAAGAGACTCAATTGCCTCTCTAATCTTATCATTATGCTGGCCTAATTTAGGCTTAATGTTATCTAAAACACCATGCAAGAACGCCATCACCCCGTCGCACAGCCTGTCAAGGTCCGAGTACACGATTCCCTCGCCGGTGTAGCCCTTGGAAGTTTCTTGGTAACCAAGGAACTTTTCTAAACCGTCAGTGAGATTTGTTAAAAGCTTATTACAGCTTTTGTCGTATGTGGATTTATTTTGTTCCAGATCCTTAGAATACCCACAAAGCTTTTCTAGCGTCTGAAGATCCTTCACCTTGGACGTCACTTTTTCCAGCTCTTTAAGTTTAGAGGGTTCAACAGGGGAATCGTCCTTTTCGGCAGCCTTTTTAGCTTTAAGAGACTCAATTTCTTTTTCAAGTTGAGATTTTTTCTCTTCAGTTGACTTAATTTCCTGTTCAAGTTGCTTAGTGTCTACAGACTCATGAGGTTTGGATGATGGATTAGGCTTTGAATTATTTTTAACATCAGGATATTTGTTAATAATAATGTCAATACCATTTTTAATGGCATCAGTAACTTCTTTCCCACCGCCAATTAAACCCGAAAGCTGTCCAGCAAGCTGACCAAGAGAGATACGGCGCTCAAAAAGATCCTTTTCACCGCTCTTTCTTTTAGAGTCAGAGCCATGTACTTCAGAGTAATGGCCATTGTATTTGGATTGAAGGTGGATTAAGGGGGAGTTAAAAGGAGAAAAGAGGGATTATTTTAGGCACATTTTTAGGGCGATTTGGGGGAGTTTGGAGAAAGGCGATTTTAGGGTCAAGGAGGCAGGGAGGGAGGTGGGTGGACAGGGTGAGGGAGGTGAAGGGGCGAAAGAGGGCGATGAGGGAGGAAGACGGGTTGAGAGAGGCGATTTCGGAGGTGGAGGGAGAAAGTGGAAAATGAGGATTTGGGCGAAGGACGCCGACGGAGGAGGTGATGGAAGGGGTGATGGAGAGGGAGCGAAGCGACTAGTGACAAAGAAGTAAGGAAGTAATTTATGGTTGAGTGGTTGAGTGGTTGAGTGGTTGAGTGGTTGAGTGGTTGAGTGGGTGAGTGGTTGAGTGGTTGAGTGGTTGAGTGGGTGAGTATGTGGGTGAGTGAGTGGGTGGGTGAGTGAGTGAGTGGGTGGTTGAGTGGTTGAGTGGTTGAGTGAGTGAGTGGTTGAGTGGGTGGTTGAGTGGGTGGTTGAGTGGGTGGGTGGGTGAGTGGTTGGGTGGTTGAGTGAGTGGGTGAGTTGGTGAGTGGTTGGGTGGTTGAGTGAGTGGGTGAGTTGGTGAGTGGTTGGGTGGTTGAGTGAGTGGGTGAGTGGTTGAGTGAGTGGGTGAGTGGTTGAGTGAGTGGGTGGTTGAGTGGGTGAGTGGGTGAGTAGGTGAGTGGGTGAGTGGTTGAGTGGGTGGGTGAGTGAGTGAGTGGGTGAGTGGGTGAGTATGAGAGTGGTTGGTTGAGTGGGTGGGTGGGTGATACACAGATCACACGTGAAGGCACGATTATGGTGAGAAGTACTTGACGTTGGCGAGTGCCCTGATGCGTGCGGCGGCGAGTAGCGACTGCGCGGCGATGCGGTGGCTTGCGGGTGATCTCAGGTGGGAGCGTATCCTCAGGACGTCCAGGCGGACGACGGCGATGTGCAGCAGGTACAGGAGCGACAGCGACCAGAGGGCTAACAATAAAGACATGAATGGGAATCTGATCTCCTTCATGAATTCATCTATAGTGCTGAAGAGTTTGACAAGAACAGACTTCTCATCTAGCACTTTCTTCAGCACGCTGCAAAAATCATTGCACGTCCTCCTCTGTTCCGTGTGCTCCATACCACTCAGCGTCCTCCGATCCGAGAATATGAATCCATATCTGCATAATACCGATGACGCATTCCTGCACTTTATAATTGAACTGCAACTGGACTGGTGATATGAGTTTGGTGATTTCTCGGTAACTGTACATGATTGTGGACATTTTGCAATACGGCATCTTGCCTTATCACCGCCACATGTTTTATTGCACTCCTCGTAGAGACTTTGGAGTAAGCTGTAGAATGTTTCGGTGAGGTAAACGATCCATGATAAATATCTGCCAGCATACTTCTTGGAATATATGCCAGCGATGTCGTTATTGAGGGACTGCAAATACGGACCGCATTTTCCATTGTAGCCAGAAGTGCAAACCAAGCTGACGAGATCACCGGTAGAATGTATTCCAGATTTTCGTGAGTGAGTGCTGTAAAATAAGGAATTAACATTTAGGCCGTCATGGTCACGTTTGAAATTCGCTTCGTTGACGGCATTCATTAATGCATCTCTCTTATGTCTCAAGCCTACTTCGTCACGTCTGCCTTTGCCGTGCCATTCATTAAGGAAATTATAGTAGAATGCCCACATGTCATCAAGTGACTGCGGGGTGCGATGGAGGAGACACTGCAAATACCGACATAACATGCTGAGTGGCTTACTAGATCGGCTGCAGAAATCATGAAGCACATCGTAAATATACTTCCCTGTTTTCCTGTGAGACGCGGTAACGGCGATTTCACTGAATCCCATAGGCGTCTTACATGGCGTACTAGACGACCTAGGACAGGAGGAACATGAAAAGCTTGTCCCTCTAAATGACACATTATGCGGCAAGTAACCTACGAGGCCGTCTTCTAGGAAAGACTGAAGTGGCGATTTAATGCCGCAGTTAGGGTGTTGGTCGCAGCGTTGGTCAGCTGTTTGGTCAGCTGTTTGGTAACCCTTTTGGGTAGCACCTTGGTTGACACCTAGCTTGCACTCTTGGTTAGCGCATCGGATAGAGTTACACTGGAATGACGAACCACCAATTTGGTTACCGTACCAACAGTCTCTCCAACCGCTTTGGTCGGAGTCATATCTGCATTGCTGATATAGGAATTGGAGCTGTTGGTGCAGCCGTTTGGCAATCTCATACAACAAACACAGCAACTGTACCATGGAACTGGGGTAGTACAATCTCAGTGAATTGTTGGAGAACTCAACGGCGTAGACACCATTGGCGTGCCCATTGCCCAGTATGGAAGTGAGCACGGGATACGCCTTCTCACACATCTCTGTCAAGGCTTTAACTGTGTCGGCATTAGTGACATTTGACGGCGACGCTTCAATTGGCTTGATAGTTTTAATGGACGGATTAGTTTTATCGGCTACCGTGAACTCGGAATTAATGTGCTGCTCAAATTTCTCAAATACGGGACTAAACTGGAAACCGGAGCACCATGCGAGCATTTCGTAGACTGAGCATGGTAGCTTATTAGCGGAGAATGTGGAGATGTGGCCTACTTGAAAGTAGGCAGGGAGACACTCGTATATAATTTCAAGCGCACGTTTACCATTTTCGTCGGGGTAGTAAACATTATCAGACGTACCTACAAGGCGGCCATTAATTTCCGATCCCCTCATGCCTTCTTTGTCCTGCAACTCGCCGTTTTGCTTGTCCTTGTCGGATACCTTGTAACCTCCGTCGGCGAAGAATGTTCCAAGCTCCGTGTAGTGATTAATCCGATCAGTTTTGCAGGCAGCATCACACATGCGCCTGAGCTTACTTAAATTGGTCGACAGTATGGGAAACACGCTGACAAAAATTTTAGCGCATCGCTCAGAGTCTTCGGACGGAGTGTCTTTCCCATTTATTCTCTTCGTCCAATCCACAGTGAGCCCCTCATACCTGTTCACATACCCCTTCTCCAGCTGCTCGACGAAGCGCTCCAGGCTCTTGGGGAAAGCGTCGAGCACGGGATACGCGGGGGTGCCGAAGTTTGTGGAGTGGAGTGCTTGGACGGATGCCTTGAGTTTTTGGAGCATTCCGGGGACCTGGTGGTCGAAGTGTTTTTGCTCGCGCAGGTGGGAGAGGAGTTGGGAGAGATTGGAGTGGATGGTGGAGAGTTGGGAGGGGTATTGGGAGTTGGGGAGGTGTTTGGGGAGGTCGGCGGAGACGTAAGTGTGGATGTGTTTCAGGTAGGCGAGGGATTTGGCGGAGAGGGATTGGAAATTGGCGGGGTGTGTTGCACCGGGAGTTATCTCCTTGAGTGGGTCAATATGGTGCTTCATAGTTTTCAATAAGCCTTTCACACCGCCATGTGAATCCTCGTGTATGGTACGCTTAATGCTGGTAATTGCAAAATGCACTCTAGTTTCCATGTCCGTGAACATTTTATTGATTCTAAAATGGTAGTCAGTTTTTGCTTCTTTTTGTATGTCGCCAGTCACTTTCGCAACTTCGTCAGAAACACACTGCTGTATCTCTTTAATGGCTCTAGCAGCTTCCGTTTTTATTATTTTGTCATAGAACTCACCGGCATTCTGCACTATGGTTTGTAGAGTGTTATCCCCGCTGCCAGTCAGGATCTTATTAAGACGCGTCTGTATTCCCGTCAGGGAATGTTTTTCCTCTCCATAGAGTTTGTCTTTAATTATATTACTCAGACGTTGCAACTTTTGCTTCACACCGCTATATCCGGAATCCTTCCCGGCAAGTTTCTCGATTCTTTTGCACAATTGTTCAAGGCTTTGGGTGACTATACTGTGTAACTCCTGGAGAGTTGAAGATTCGATCTTCATGCCACTACCCTTCTCGTCGGCCATAACAGTCTTGATTTTCTTCAGACCACTTCCGTTATTCTGTATTAAATCTAAAGGCTGAGTGACCTGAAGTTTCGCAGTGTCGTAAGTCGGCGTAAATCCATTGCCGTTTTTAAAATCTCCACTGCCATTACCATATTCAGTCCCAATAAGTCCCTCAGCCTGCGCCTTAAGTCTTTCTTTAAATGCGCCAGTACTGGGAACAACAGCTCTAGTAACGGCGTTCTCAAGCTTTTCTCCAAGTGTTTTAACACTCTCTATAGCCTGTGCCAGGTTACTTATCTTGGACGCTTCCAAGAAATTCTTTATTTCCTCTGATAATCCTTTTGCAGCCGTCGACACCCCAAATATAATAATTTCAAGGGCCGTTTGAAGATAATCGTTTTTGGTAGACCCGGAGGTTGCGACCATACCTGCGATCTGCTCGGCAATCTCTTCAAGCTTGGTCTTCCCACTAAGTTCACTTTTAATTTGCTTCCCAAAGCGTTTGGCAAAATCTTGCAAGCTACTACCAATCTGGCTAAACTCGGCAGTGGATGAAAGGCCAGCCTTTCCGGCACTCTCCTCAACTAGTTGCTTAATAATATCTGGGAGGTAGTGCAAAATGGCTGCTTTAATATCGTTCTCTTTTCCATTCAATAGACTGGAATTTCCTTTGTCAATGACATACTTCCCAACATACGTATCTACAGCCCCGCCTTTCTCATTCACCATGCTAGTTACCATTGTCTCAATCGCATCCTTGAGTTTATTTTCAAAACTCGACGCGTACCCCTGCAGGGCATTTTGAATATCATACAGTGTTCCAGACTTATTCTGCTGATGCGCAATCGTATCAGTAAGATCTTTGAGGTTACTCGTAATGCTCAGTCCCAACCGACTAATATGCTCTCCAACAGTCTGTTTTATTTTATCCCTTAGTTGCTTCAAATCACTCATTACCGCCGTTTTAAGTGCTGCATCCACTACACCTAAAGCACTCTGCACCCTTTCAGCAATATACCCGTGAGCCTCCTGCATTTCAGTGTACAATTTAACAGCATCCTCCTTTAACTTACCGGCTGCTGTGCTAATTCCACAAGGATTTGCTGCACTGGACATGACTTCATTAATAATATCATCAACCTGATTATGAATCATTTGAATAAACTTCTCCGCCGCCACAATCCACTTACCCAAATCAGCATGAACTGCAGTCAACTTCTCATTCACATCATCAATTGGCTTCCCAATCTGCCTTTCGAAGGCATCATTTATGTCCGATCCCAACTGGTTTGTGCGGTACTTCACTTTATCATTCACCGTTTTCTCTAGCAATTTTGCCCGCTCTTCGCTAAACACTAGCAACGCCTTCAGCTCAGTGTTCTGTGCCGCAGCCGCGAACTCCTTGACCTGCAAATTTATATAATCAAATGAATCTTTCAACTTATCTTTTAATGTTGGATCTAGATCCATATAATACGTTTTTGCCAACTTGAAGACGTCATGCAAATTTTTGGCTTCATTGAAGCACGTCTGCAACAGTGCAGGTACATTACGAAGTGAATCGCCATATACATCATTAAGCTTCTTAAGTGATTTATTAATATAGTCGAAGTTGTTATCTTTTAAGTGATCTAAAGTGGTTGTAAATGTGCTAGTGTGTTTCTTCACCTTCTCCTCCCACTCCCGCAGCGCACCTGCAACAGTATGAATTACATTAGTGAACTTACCTTTTTGATGCATAGATGTCTTGATTTCTTGAAGAACCTTGTCCATTTTATCAGTAGAAAAATAATGCTTAACGCTCTCATCATCTTTCACACTTTCAAGAACTCCATGAAGGAAAGACATCACCCCGTCGCACAGCCTGTCAAGGTCCGAGTACACAATTCCTTCTCCGGTGTAATTACCATTACTGTAGCCGAGAAATTTTTCGAGGCCTGTGCAGAGGTTATTTAATAATGATGTTGAAGGATTATTTTAGGCACATTTTCAGGGTGATTTGGGGGATTTTTGAGAAAGGCGATTTTAGGTCAAGGAGGCAGCGAGGAGGTGGGTGGACAGGGTGAGGGAAGTGAAGGGGCAAAGAGGGCGATGAGGGAGGAAGATGGGTTGGAATAAGGGGATTTCGGAGGTGGAGGGGGAAAGGCGGAAAATGAGGATTTGGGTGAAGGACGCCGACGGAGGAGGTGATGGAAGGAGGAGGCAGGGAGCGACCAGTGAAAGAGAGGTGAGTGGGTGGTTGGGTGAGTGAGTGGGTGAGTGGGTGAGTGGGTGAGTGGGTGGTTGAGTGGTTGAGTGGGCGAGTGGTTGAGTGGTTGAGTGGTTGAGTGAGTGGTTGAGTGAGTGAGTGGTTGAGTGGTTGAGTGAGTGATTAGGTGGGTGAGTTGGTGAGTGGGTGAGTGAGTGGGTGATACACAGATCACACGTGAAGGCACGATCATGGTGAGAAGTACTTGACGTTGGCGAGTGCCTTGACGCGTGCGGCGGCGAGGAGGGACTGCGCGGCGATGCGGTGGCTTGAGGGCGATCTCAGGTGGGAGCGTATCCTCAGGACGTCGAAACGGACGACGGCGATGTGCAGCAGGTAGAGGAGCGACAGCGACCAGAGGGCTAATAAGAAGTAGAAGAAGAAGATGAGAAATGTTGAAGAATCATTTTAGGCACATTTTTAGGGCGATTTGGGGGAATTTGGAGAATGGCGATTTTAGGTGGAGGAGGCAGCGAGGGAGGTGGGTGGACAAGGTGAGGGAAGTGAGGGGGCGAGAGAGGGTGATGAAGGAGGGAGATGGGTGGAGATGAGGCGATTTCGGAGGTTGAGGGGGAAAGTGGAAAATAAGGATTCGGGTGAAGGACGCCGACGGAGGAGGTGATGGAGGGGTGATGGGAGAGGGAGCGAAGCGACCAGTGAAAGAGGAGGTGAGTGGTTGAGTGGTTGAGTGAGTATGTGGGTGGTTGAGTGGGTGGTTGAGTGAGTGAGTATGTGGGTGAGTGGTTGAGTGGGTGGGTGAGTGGGTGAGTGGGTGGGTGAGTGGGTGAGTGATTAGGTGAGTATGTGAGTGAGTAAGTGGGTGGGTGATTAGGTGAGTATGTGAGTGAGTGAGTGGGTGATTAGGTGAGTGGTTGAGTGGTTGAGTGGGTGAGTGGTTGAGTGAGTGGGTGGTTGAGTGGGTGAGTGAAGGCACGATTACGGTGAGAAGTACTTGACGTTGGCGAGTGCCTTGACGCGTGCGGCGGCGAGGAGGGACTGTGCGGCGATGCGGTGGCTTTTGGGCGAGCGCAGGTGGGAGCGTATCCTCAGGACGTCGAGGCGGACGACGGCGATGTGCAGCAGGTACAGGAGCGACAGCGACCAGAGGGCTAATAAGAGGTAGGAGAAGGGTGTGCGAATTGCCCAGATGAATTCGTCGATTTCTTCAAACAGCTTCTTGAAGTATCCGTCGTACAGCACTCTATGTAACTGTTTAACAAAATCATCACACGTCCGCCTGGTATTGTGTGCATATAGTGTTGCAGGTACGCGGAATGTGAGACCGTATTGGTAGAACACCGAGAGGACACCTTGACATCCGACGATGGATTCACAATGACAACTTTTCTTGCATTGCGTCGGATGCAATTGTCCCTTGGATACGTCTTCTTCGCATACACCATGTTTTCCAGGTGGACATTTGCAAGGACACCCAAATGATTTACAGGACATATGTTTGAACGAGTTTAGTAATTCATCTAGTAAATTCCAGAACTCCCATGCGAGGTATGCGCACCATGATAGATACAACGCCGAATGCTTCACGGCATAAGTATGATACGCATTTTTGCTGAGTGGGTGGAGGTAAGGGGCGCATGGATTTGGTGACTGACATGAATACTTGGTAGTGAGACTGTGTAGATCCTTGTGACCGGGCATTATAGCGTCTTTCACAGTTGTCGTAATGTGTTCGTCTTTTGCATTGTGTAATTTTTGCAGCGCACCTGTAAGACCTCTAGCATCGTATTTTTCGTGAAGCGACATACAGTATTTGAATGGGAAACAGCCGGGGATTGTGTGACTGTTAATGTGAGTTGTGAATTCGCCATTGTCAATATACTTACCGTTATTTTTCTGGAATATTTGGCAATATAGGGACAGCATCTCTGCCAAAGTCTTTGAGGATAAGGCAGTGACAGCAAACATCGTAGCAAAGAGGATAGTGGTGAGCTTGCGTTTTTGCAGAAACCACTCAAGACATTCCATATGTCGATACCCTTTCGTGGCACCGATGCTGCATGAGTCAAGTCCCAGAAACCCATCGGAGTGATACACTGTTGCCCCGGCGCGCCCTTTGGGCAGGTGGAACATTTAGGTGCACAGCCTACGGATGCTACTTTATGCGGTAAGCAGCCAGGTAGCTGGTCCATTAAGTGGGACTGGAGTGGAGACTTTGGTTGACAATTTGATTGGCCATTTGGTTGGCCATTTGGTTTACTACTTGGTTGGCGATTTGCTTTATCCGTTGAGTGGACATTACATGGCCAGCTTGATGATGGCACATTTTTGCCGTAGTCACAGTCACGCCATCCATGTACTTCGGACCCGGATCGACATTGGCTATACAAGAAGTACATTGAACATAATGCACGTCTACATATATCAGTGAGCACATCGAATAGGCTGGCTACGTCGGATGGGTAATGGAACCCTCGGGAGTTGTCACGGAAGTTACAGGCATATGGGTAATCAACGTTGGGGGCACCGTGACCGTTTCCGGATACGGTAACAAGTACATCGTATGCCTTTTGTGTTGTGGAGGTTATGTAGCTGGATAAGTTATGTTCAAGCATTGGTAAGATGACGCTGTCCTTCTTATACGACTCATCTTTATCAAGCAATGATTTACAATAACCATTAATTTGACTGTAGACACTAGTGTAAGGAAGACCTGTAAGCCATGTAAGCATATCACGTACACTGCAGGGGTATTTAGGTGAAGGTGGAAGTGTTAAGTGGCATGTCGTGTAATATGTTTTTAAGTGTCCGGTCAGCTCAGAAAGTGTTTTGCTTTCATATCCCTTTCCGTTATTCTTATTAAACAACGTCTGACCGTTGACCTCTGTCTCAAGCAGTTCATAAATGGAAGAACCATTCAAATCTCTTCTCACCTCGCCATCCTGCTTGTCTCCTACAGCGCAAACACTGTAGTCACAATCAGCAAGGAAGGCAGGTAGACTGCCGTCTAAGTTGCCGAAACATTTCTTAGTTCTCCAACCGGTGTTATGGCGGCGCTTTCTCATATTGGTTAACCGGCTCTCTATGATTGGGATTATTGTAGCACATATTTTGGCGCATTTCATGGCGTCTTCCGACGGTTCCTTTTCTTGTTGCACAGACACCGTAGTTGCAGCGGATGCTGGAAGGGGAACCGATTTTGGAGCGCCAGTTGAAGACGTAGTAGATGTTGGAGTCTGTTTTGGTTTCTGCCAATCGATGGTCTGTCTAGAATATCTGGAGACATATGCGTTGCGTAGGTGTGTGACAAAATCATTGAACCCTTTTTTCAAAGGCCTCAGCACTATCTTCTGTCCATCGTTCATGACGTCGGGATTAAAACCCCTGAGTGAATTTTCAAACTCCAAGCGCTTTTCGGTAACAAGGCAATCAAAGTGCTGGGAATCTCTGATGCGCTGGAGCAATATGTCAAGAGAGCTCGACACCTTTTCAATTTCCGCTTTCTGAGACTTTACATCGCTTTGTTCACTGAACATTTGGAAAAATCTTTGAAGCCTATCTTGACCCTTAGGACAAGTTTGCTCAGTGAAGAATGCATTGCAGGATCGATGCTGGAAGTGTAACGCGGAATATGCTTAAGTTCTTTAATTTGTTCCATCAAATGCGTATTCAACTTGTTAAGCATACCTTTAAGACCATTCTTCTTATCAGCTTCAATAATCTTCTTTATTTCCCCTTCTTGCGCCACGACTAAACTGTGTAAGGCATTTAAGTCCTCTTGATGTTGTTTGCAGAACATTTGTTTTACCTTGGTGTGGACAGATATGAAGGCTGTTTTGACTTCACTGGTGAGTTGTTCTTGTAAGTCGGAAATACCGTCAGTCAAAGTCTGGCGCCGTGTTAACGGCCAACGTGGCGTCGGTTATTGCGCCGCGGAGAGCTTCATCAAATTCCTTAATAGCCTTATCAATTTCCTCAATGCGCCTTTTAAGATCTGCAACTTTGTCTTTCAGGGACCCGACCTCATCTTTCATGTAACCTTCGGCAGATTTATCAATCCCGCTAACTAGAGGCTTGAGCTTATCGATCTTCTCTTGAAGCTCGTCAATGAAATGTTGAACATTGTTCGACTGGCCAGCGCCTTTGGGTTTCTGCAGCCTATCAATCTGCTCTCCTATCGTAGGTCCAATGTTATCAACGTGGCTGGAAATAATTCTATTCACTTCTTCATTTAACAGCTCTATACCTTTCCCGGCTGCTTCGGTGAGTAGAGGTTCGAGTGGGTTGGTGAAGTCTACTGCGTCGACTCCTGCCTTCACCCTAGCAGCAACACTGTCGGTAACGGTAACATCTGGGCCGAGGGTGGAGGACAGACCAGGATCCGAGGGCGCAAGCGCCTGTCCAAGCTCAGTCTCAAGCTTCGAAACTTTGGGATACACTTCCTGAAGGTCCTCGATTTTTGAAATGACGGACTTGATGCCATTGGAGGCCTGCGATTTATTTTCACTATATTTGCCGAAATGCACGGTGTTGGAAAGGTTGAATTTGTTACCAGTGGGTTTGATTTGGCCATCGTTGAAATACGTCTTAAGCCGTGCTGTAATGGCGTCAATTCTGGCTTTAAGTGAGTCATTTTGGTCGCCGTTTGTTTTCGTATAGGCAAAATATTCTCGCATTATACCAGTTTTACTAATATCTATTCTACCTTGATTCTCCCCAATATTTTCACCCAGTATCTTATTAATCGTCTTCTCAATATTAGTGGTGAGAGGCACAGCGCTGACGGCGAGAGCAGCACGGGTGAAGGGTTCACCTCGAGCCGACAACCTTTTAAGATTTGCAGATAACTCTTCCGCAATTTGAAAGGCATTCCTAACGTTTGCCGCAATGCTGATGTTCAACGTACCATCCGTATTGATGAACGATACAACATCGCTAGCTGCTTGCCGGGCAATGGCCGATATGGCAGCTAGGATTGCTTCAACTGCGACTCGGAGATTATAACCAGCATATCCTGGGTTTGGGGTTGGTTACAACCTCCACCACCGCTGTTTGAATTGTTTTCAGAATATCCTCGACTATCTTCGAGATATACGATTCTGTGCCAGGGGTCTTCAGTTTTGTGTCTAGTCTCTGGGCATATGCCTCCAAAAAATTCTGCAATTTTCGTAAATCCCCTGCAACATCACCGGTGGGTTGTACATCATAGGTTCCTTTAACCGTCGCATATACTTGATCCTTAAGCGCATTCATAATTGCAGGCTTAATATTATCATGCAAATCATTTGCTCCGTTGATACTGCCTTTGAAATGATTCTTCGTGGCCTTGCTGCGATCTTTGTTAAAATTAACGTAGTCCTCAAGCTTCTTTATTACCAAACCATTATTGGTTAAAATCTTAACAATCCACTCATCCATCATCCCACTCTCCGTCGTACCCATATTTGTGAAAATAGCGTCCGCGTATTCCTTCATTCGCTTCTTAATTCCTTCGATACCTGTGTTAGCTTCCTTCCCAGGGCCTTTCACCACTTCAACTTGTTCATTAACTGCAGTGACATACCCCTTAACATACTGCTGCAACTGCGTTCTTAACCCTTCTCTCACACTCCATAATCCACTTCTTACTTTCCCATCCAAACTGCCCAGTGCGTTATTAATTCCATTTGCGGCTAAATTAATTGCAGTGCCAATTGCATTGGCGCCCTTATCAAGTTCGCCATCCAGGTCTCGAATGTTCTGCTGGACTGAAGTGGCTTGCTGGTGAAGTTCGGAATTTGAGCCATTCGGATTCACCATCGTCATTTCCTTCTTAATACGCTTCACTTCTCCCTGAACCTGCGTAACATAGGCTTTCACATACTTATTAAACTTCTCATTTAACTGGCCCTTAAGTGCTCCAATCTGCTGATTCAACTCACGAATTATCTCTTGCAACCCGCTGCCCACCGTTTGCTGAACCTCTATATGACTGTTCCTAAGCGTCCCCAAATGCTGACTAAGGTTAGTTAACTGCGGAGTTATTCGACCAACGACATCCTGGAGCTGAGTAGTAATATCTTTGGTGCCAAGTAATTTTTTCTCGTTTATGTTATTCAACCCATTGACAATCTGACTCTCATAATCACTAACCAACTGATCGGCCGCTCCGCCAGCAGCTGTCACAGTCTGCTTTAGATCACTGACAAGTTTCAACAATGGGTCCAAGTGTTCAGTCCTTTTCTCCGCAATGGCCACAATATTACGGTTGATATTATGAAATTGAGTGCTCAGTTGTGCCTGAAGGCCTGAACATTTCTTGTCAATTTGCCCTCTCACATGTTTTTCTTGCTGGGTGAATTGATCGTCCACCGCCGTCACCTTATCGGCAAAGTCACTGTTCCCAGCCACCCTTTCCAGGTGCTCGACAACCTTAGTTATCGGATCTACTTTGTGCGTTAGTTGTGCGCTAAGTGTAGGATCTAGTGTCTTAATATTACGTGTTTCTATGTCATTAAGTTCAAATTTAATCTTCTGCACGGTCGACGTCCAACCCATTAGTTGAGTGCCGAGCCCAGAGTTCTCTTGCTTCTCCACTTCCTTGTAATACTCATTTCCACCTGCACCAGATGAAATATCACTACGCAACTTACCTATAAGTGAAGATAATCCTTCAGTCACTGCTCCAGTCTTGTTACCAACTTCCTCATTATATTTCCCCAACCACTCCTTCACCTTAGTGACAGACTTCGAAAGGCCTCCACGCCCGGAGCCAATTTTAGATTGTAAAGTGGAGAGAACTTTATCAATTTTATGTTCTTCATCAATGTATTCATTATATGTTGTAACGTTATCATCATCCTTAACACTCTCCAACACCCCGTGCAAGAACGCCATCATCCCGTCACACAGCCTGTCAAGGTCCGAGTACACGATGCCAGTGCCATCGTAGCCTTTGGATGATGGGTTGAAGCCTAGGAAGGTCTCAAGGCCAGAGCACAGGTTAGTAAGTAAATCACGTGGATTATTAGCTGACACTGTTTCAAGTTGCTTAGCATATCCACAAAGCCCATTCAGTGTCTCAAGAGACTTCATGGATGACTGATGAGAGTTAAGGGATTTAGAATCCTTCTCAGAGAAAGCATCTTTTTTAGCGGTCTTTTCACTCTCAAAACGCTGAATTGTAGTATTAAGCTTGCTAATGTTTTCAGCAATTTCCTTTTCTATCTCACTTAATTTAGGTTGAAGGCCATTGAATTGCCTTTCAACATTATTTTCATCAGAGCTTTTCGTTTCCTTAAGTTTCTCAATCCCAGGCAATTTGTTCTTACAACACCCCTCTCCTCCGCAAGATGCATTTAAAAGCTTTTCAAGCTGACTTACGTTACTGTGCAAACCCTTCAACAATGCATCTTTAACTTCCTGTCCACTGCCAATAAAACCCATAAGTTGTCCAGCAAGCGTACCAAGAGAGATACGACGGGCATCGATATCATCCAAAGCGCCCCTTCTTTTATCCTCAGAGGAATGTACATCAGAGTAATGTTTCTTCAAGTCAGATTGGTGTCTAGATTTTTGAGATCCATCTTTCTCGTCTTCAATTTTCTTTTGAAGCGTATTACAATAGTTGCCATATAGCCCATCAGAGCCTTTATCAGCGCATTTAAGTTCATCTTCTTTACTTTTAAGACTCCTAGTAGCGCTCTCAATAGCATCCTCGATCAACTTTTTCAAAGCCTCAGCCAAAGGCCCAAGACCCTTGCCATTACCATTCCCATGCTTAACCTGGATCAACCAGTCGATGGAGGCCGACGAAGGAGGCCAAGGAGGGAGGGCAAAAGAGGTGAGAAAAGAAAGTGGAAAAAAGGTTAAAGGATAATTAGAGGAGGTGAAATGGGACACTTTTGGAGAATTTTAGAATTTTTTGAGAAAGGCGATTTTAGGTCAAGGAGGCAGCGAGGCAGCGAGGCAGCGAGGGAGGTGGGTGGACAAGGCGGGGGAAGTGGGTGGACAAGGTGAGGGAGGTGAAGGGGCAAAGAGGGCGACGAAGGGGGAAGAAGAATTGAGGTAAGAGGATTTTAGGGGTGGAGGGGAAAAGTGGAAAGATGAGGATTTGGGGCCGACTGACGACGGATGATGTGATTAGGAGGAGGCAGGATGAATTTCCAGTGGAACTGAAAGCGGTACGATGATGCGAGCAAGGAGCGGAGTGGCGGAGTGAGCGCGCATGGTTGAGCGGGTGATGGGCGAGTGGTCAGCGATGATCGGGGTGGGCGGAGCAGGCGGAAGAGTGGGCGGTTGGAGTGGATGAGGGCGAGTGGTGAGTGGGCGGTCGATGGGTGATGAGCGTAAGAGCGAGGTTGAGCGGGTGAGTGAGCGATGAGCGGCTGAGTGGTTGAGTGGGTGGGGTGATACACAGATCACAACGTGAAGCACGATTATGGTGAGAAGCTACTTGACGTCGGCGAGCGCCTTGACGTGCGCGGCAGGAGGAGGATCCGCGACGATGCGGCGGCTTGAGGGCTACCCGGCGGAGCGCATCCTCAGGACGTCGAGCGGACGACGGCGATGTGCAGCAGGTAGAGGAGCGACAGCGACCAGAGGGCCAGCAAGGTCCATATGAAAGGTGCGCGAATTGTGAACATGAAGTTGTCAATGATTTCAAATAGAGTTTTGAAATAATGCGATTGTATAACGCTCTTCAAATGTTTTGCAAAGGTGGCGCACGTCCTTCGTGTATTCAGCATTGATTGCAATGGCATCGCCAAACATGAACCCACATTTATACAGTGTTGGCGTCACACCTTTACATGTCACAAGTGATTTGGTGACAAGGAGTCTCGAAACTTCCATGACTCCCCTGGTGTACAGGCTCCGTGATGTAGACAGCGACGACATCCCCATTCTCTGCAATATTTCTGAAGGCATCATATAAAGACAGAAGATACCTCCAGAAATCCCATGGCAAACCGCCCATGATAAATAGGTGTTAGAATGTTTGTTGCAAGATAGGCATCACTATAAAGACTCGAAAGGTAGGGAGCGCATTCTCATCCTTTTATGTTGCTGTTGCAGAAGTCAGTAATTGTGAGATTCATCAAATGAGGATGTTGGCATTCGGAATGCCTTACAGAGTCAGATCCATATGCGTTGGCAAGGGCATTTGTAAAGCGATCCGCATTTTCGAACAGCTTGATGGATGTGTTAGTGATAGATGACTCAAATGACGCTTGAAGGGTGAATTTGTTCATGGTGGCTTTCTTAGATTGGGAACTATGAAGCCAGCCCCAACTAAATACAACGCAAACCAAAATGCTCTGGCAATGTAGGTGGCTTAGGCGATAGCAGAACACAGATATATTGTTGTTTAAACAAGTCACCAAGTATGTCGCATATGTCTTACCCGTTTTAATACTGCCAGAAAATTCCCTGAATCCCAGAGGTGTCAAGCAAGGCATTCCGGGTGTACTACCAGGCACGATTTACATACAGACTTGCAGCCCGAGTTGAGTTGGTGCGGCAAGTGACCGGGTAAGGTATCATTTAGGT